TCAGTACTTGGGACCGACGCGGGTCCATATGCAGATACAATCGTACCAAAAGCTCCACGTACGCCCATGTACCTATGACTCTCAGATCGGAAAACTTGAACTCCACCAACGCGGGGCCGCCAAAACAAAGCGGTCCCCCCTTGCATAGTAACAGACTTCGCATTCTTTCCAGGCGGCACACTGACAGCACACCTCCAACCCAGTCTCTGAGCCGTGGCTGACGCCCACCGTGGTTTCTCCGTATGTAGGCGTACCTCCTGCAAGGCCAAGAAGTCCACCTCCTTCAAGTCGTCGTGCGTGAGCAGCTCCTCCAGCCTGGCGGCGTTCAGAGCTGTGACGTTGATCGTGGCCAAGCGCATCTGGCCGCTCCCTGCCGGTGCCTCCCCACCCCCGCGGAGCGGGTCGCGGGGGTCGGGGCACCCTCAGCATGATGGGCCCGACGCAGACGCTGACGCCGAGGCCGACGTCGTCCGCGCAGCAACCTTCTTCTTCCAAGCCTCCTTCCCGCGCTTGCGCTTCTGGATCAGGTAGCGCTCGCGCTCGGGGCCACTCCTCAACCTCCTCTTGTCCAGCTTCTGGTTCTGGATCCGCTTCCTCTCTTTGTGCTCGGGCCTCTTGGAGTACTCGGCCCAATACTTCTTCCTCTTCTCACGCTTGTCGGGTCCGAAGTTGGCCTTCTTCTTCTGGATGCGCTTCTGCTCCTCCTCAAAGTAATGCCGCATACGTGATACTCCGACCGTACTTGTCAAGAACTGCTTCCGCGTAACTAACTTTATTATGTCTCCCACTGCATATATTCCAAGGCGCCTGTCCCAGCGCCCTCTGGATGCCACACCGCGTGCACTTGTAGGCTGTGTAGTTCTTCGTGGAGTTTGGGATCGTCAACACCGTACGAGGATCATACTCACACACAGCCTCCTGAATACTGATAGGTAGCTTTGCCTTCCACAACAGATGCTTGGCAAACCCACGCTGGCGTACGTTCTCACGAATCTTGGCAGAGTTAGCGAGAAACTGGGAGATATGCGAGTGCACGATCTTCCCGATCTTGGGCGCAGGCTTGCCTTGGCACTTCCTCCAGTGCCTGTCCGCCTGCACACTGAGCAAGGAGTTGTACTTGCGTTTACCCATCATCACTCTGTCGGACGTGTCAGGCGTCCAACCACACTTATCACACTTATAATATTCACCAGTTTGCCAAGACCAAGACTGCTTGAATGCATCATCATCGTCTCCTGCAGCCTCCTCCGCCAGGGCTTCAGCTCCACCAGACTCCAAACCCAGGAAACTACGCATCTCGTCCGCACGCTCATCCAGGCCCAGGATACTCGCAATGGCACCTGAGTGTGCTGTCGGTGTACTGTGCAGACCAAGAAGAGATAACATATCAGCGTCATCACCATCCTCCTCACCACTGCCCTGCAAGCCATGCTGAGGGTACGGGAAAGCTTGATCACGCCACAGACGTAACGTGTTCTGGTACTCAGGCAGGTCTTGGATGTCCGCTCGAGGCTCCAGCCACTGGTAGTGCTGGTCCTCTAGGGTCAACCAGATCTCCTTCTTCTTCGTCTTGGAGTTCGGCTCTCGTCCGTACAATATCCATTTGCCATTCGCATCTTTTGCCCAAATATAGATATCCGTCTTTGCCTCGTGCGCCAGTAGCCTCACCGCCAGGGCTCCCGCAGGGTTCCCCGTCGTGCCATGGTACTCCGCCTGCAACTTCGTCGTGCCGTACACATTCTTCAAGCCCGCCCTCTGCACCAGCATGCGGAGGTGGCCCTGGATCGGACCCTTCGGCTCGAAAGCGTTGATGGGCGGCACTCGCCCACTCGGGGAACCATGATGCAGGCCGCGACCTGCAGCGATATAAAAACAATCACCCTCACCTGCACATTGAACAACTTTGAACCACTTAGTATATGGTGTCACATGTTTGCCCACAGCTTTACCATCTTCACCTCTCTGCAACTTTGACTTTGATTCGACCTTGGCCTCCTCTTTCGCCTCAGTCTTGACGTCGTCCTTCGTCGGCGTGACCGTTGGTGCTCCAGCAGTCGGCGTAGTTGCCGCTGGTGCCGTTGACGCAGCCGTCGAAGCTGCCTGAACCCCTGCATCGCCGTCGATGTTCTGGATCCTCGGCTTGGCCGCACCCCACGCACTCCTAGTCGTAGATGCTGGGCCCTCCTTCGGCTTCTGACGTGCTGGTGCTTGAGGTCTCACAGCCTTGGTCACCAACACACCACTCTTGAACGAGAAACTCGTCGCCACCACACCCTGGGGCGGCTCCGCATAGAATAACCAAGCTCTAGGCCCAGCTCTGGTCGGCTCCTGCACCCGCAAGAACCCTCTCTCCGTGGCCCAGTCCGCCACCAGCTGCGGCGTCGTCCAGGTCGGGAGCGCGTGCTTGATATAATACTTCGTGAGCTCGAGCATACCTGGGGCATTGACCTGTGTGGTCGCACCAAGCTTGGCCCGTCCATATGGACGATACACCAACAGATTACGCTTCTCTTTCAATAGCCCACAAACTCTTTTAAGATAATCCTTCGGCGTTCTGGGTGAACCACTTGGGAGTCGTCGTCGATGCCTGCTTCATAATAAAACAACCCAATGGTGGTATAATCTCACTCATCTTCACCTCGAAACTCTTGGGGACCGTGACCACACACGTCGTCTCGGCCTCATATGCGATAGCACCCCGCGTACGTACAATCTGAACCGCCGCCACATCTCCCAACACCACCGTCGGCATAGCCTGAGGCTGGTTGTAGATCTGATGATAGAGCGACTCATCCGTCATCTCCTGCACTACCGTGATGCGGAAGCTCACGAGGGACAACTTCTCGTGCTGCACCGCCTCGTCGTCTTTGATGGCCGCGTCGAGGCCCGCTCTGCGAGGAGCGAGCTCTCCGTGATATACGATGCGGGCCTTCATCTTCTTCGGGCCTTTCGGCCCATGGAGGAGTACGTGATCTTCACCTGATGCATCCAGAACCACATGCGTGATGTCCGTCCTGTTGCCGTACGCTCTTCTCACCTGCTCCGCTGCCGTGTACTCCGCCTCCGTCGAGGAGAAGATGATCAGCGGATCCGTGATCGTCTCGAGCTTGGAGCGGGCCTGGCCCGCGGCTACCAGGGCCGCAGTCCCCCAGGGTTCCGCAACCATTCGCTCCGTAGTAGTAGTAGTAGTAGTCGTCGCCTCCTCCAGCGGGCTGTCAGGTTTGGCCGCGCTGAAAGTGGTGATGAGCTCCCTCAGCTTGTTGCAGACCACCGTCGTCGTGATGGCCTGCCTCTGAGCGCCTGTGGCGGTGTCCACGTAGCCGATGAGGCTCCGCAGGCGCTCGACAATCTGGATGTCCGTGTGCTTGACCTTCTTCTTCTTGGGCTTGGCCTTGGGCGTGGCGGGCGAGGTCGCCTGTCACGCCGTCGCAGGGGACTCCTGCGGCAGCCCGATATGATGTTGGATCGCACTCACAGCCCTCACCAGACCCTGGAGGACTGCGGCTTGATCCGATCGGCGTGTCGTCTTCTTTGCACCACCTTTGCCGCCTCCCCCGAGGAGAGGATCGGCTGGCAGCACACTCTCTGTAGTCAAAGGGCCCTTGCTTGTGGAGTTCGCACAAGCCGCCACCCAGCTCATAGTATGGCTTCTTCCGTCATACTCGTCCTCCAACGTGAGCCTCGAGGATAAGCAGTCTCGCTCTGGAAAATCACAAAATTGAACGCCGTGAAATACATGATCATACTGATCAAAAGCGTGGTGTACATGATCTCGCAGATCAAGCTCCTGACGATCTTCGGTACCTGCCCAGACCCCAGGGTAGTACTTCACATCGCAGGGCTCCCAGTCGAAGTACTCGTGTACCTCATCCCCAACAAAACTCGTGACCTCGTCACCGCCCACGCAGCAAGCAGTCGAAGACGCACGGGTCGTCCGCCATCTCCACCGCCTTCGCCACAGCACCCTCCCGAGGAAGAGCACCATGCCCGCCAACGCCATGACCATGCCGAAGCGGTCTGGGGGCTGCTGCTCGTTGGCGCAGGCCTCGTAGGTCTGGCAAGTCCCGCAGGCCCCGCAAGTCCCAGTCCCCCCAGGTCCCACATGCCCCGAAGGCCCCACAGGTCCCACAGGCCCGATAGGGCTTACAGGTCCTACAAGGGCCACGGGGTCCGCAGGTCCCGCAGGTTCCGCAGGACCCGCAGGTCCCACAGGTTTCGCAGGTCGCGCAGGTCCCGCATGTCCCACACGTCCCACAGGCGACGCATGCCCCACAGGCCCCTCAGGCCCTACAGGTCCCACAGGCCCCACAGGTCCACCCAGCCCCTCCGGTCCCACAGGTCCCACAGGTCCCACATGTCGCGCCGGTCCCGCAGGCCCCGCAAGTTCCGCAGGTCCCACGGGGCCTACAGGTGCCACAGGCGCCACAGGTCCCACTGGTATCGCAGGTCCTGCAGGTCCCACAGGTCCTACGAGTCCCTCAGGTCCTACAGGTCCGACAGGTCAGGCAGGTGTCGCAGGTGGCGCAAGCCCCGCAGGTCCCACAGGTCCCACAGGTCTCGCAGGGACGACAAGTTTTGCAATTTCGAAGGCCCCACAGGTCCCACCAGGCCCACGCGTCCCACAGGTCCCAAGGGTCCCACAGGTCTCGCAGGTCCCTCAGGTCCCACAGCTACCGCAGCCCGCACAGCTCCCACAAGTTCCACAGGGCTCACGCTCCCAACATTTCTCCCAATTCTGGCAGGTTCCACAGGTCCCGCAGGTCCCACAGGTCACCTTTGGTGTTATTAAGATGGTTCCTGGGGTGATGTTTGCAAGGCGAAGGCGCGTGTAATTGCATGCGCTGCGCGCAGTGCAGAGTGAACCGTGAGTGCAAGTGCGAAACGCTGCCATGTAAATTTGGGATTGCGCCCGTCCTGGAATCTTTTTGTGAACTTGCGGTTGCGGTGGTTTCCATCGTGGTCAAACATCTCACACGCCGATGAACCCCAAGGGGTCGGCGGATTCTGAATGGCATGCTTACGCCCATGGCAAGTGGATCTACGTTCTTAAGCAAGCAGCTTTGTCCGATGATGACCTGCAGATGGAGTCTGCAGTGCAGTTGCTTGGTGCCTTGGGGCGTATGTTGCCACGCTTCAAAGTACCTCGCGCTTCAGAGCATTTCAGCGAGGTCGTTGCAGTTCTGCTTCAGTGCGTCGTGAAGCGTCCTCACTCCGCGGGGGCGCTAGGGATCGTAGTGCTGAGGGATTTCGCAGCTACCCTTGGAGATTCCCAGCGCAGGGCAATGTGCCAGGCTTTCAGTGCTTGCCGGGACTGCGACATCGTCAACGCCAAGATTCAGGAATTGCATGAGGTTTCGCGATGCGACCGGGTGGAGCGGCACCGTTGATGCCGGGTCTCTTGCGCCAAAGTGCCCTTCCATGCCTTTCCCTCTTCTCTCCCTCCCCTCCCACCTCCTCCGCCGATTGGTGCGCGACGGCACTGCGTGCTGGGTTCTAGTCTGCCTGGAGCCTGCATGGGCATGGTGAGCAAGAGAGATTGAGCGATTTTGATTGTGCAGATGTGCTGCGAGAACCGGAAGACCGCGTAGCCAGCAGCGGGCACCCTGTGGCACGTAATCTTTGTCGCGCGATCAATTGCAATGCGCTTTATCTTGCGCATCAGTCACATTTGAGCGGATGTTTGGCGTCGAGGCGAAGGGGTGCATTCTCATCGTGTGAGATGGGAGTCAACCGGTATGGGTATTCGCAGGCATGGTACCTTCAGATCAGCAGCACATGGGCCGTTCTACAGGTTCCGCAAGGCTGATGGCCCTTTGTGTTTCGAGGACGCATGACGCTGTTGACGTGCCCCATGTCGCAGCACTAGTACTGACATCGGTGCGGGCCAATCAGAATCAGAGTTTGCGCGCATGCATTTGGTGGTCAGCTGGGCTTCGCGCCTTGCCTGACGCATATAAGCACGATGGCAGGCAGCTTCAGACATGGCATTCGCATGCGCGATGGACCTTTGCGCGTTGCTTAATTCAACCAACCTTGCAAACGCACACCATTGTTTGCTCACGCGTGCCGTTCGCCCGCAATCACGTCTGCAAATAGACGAATGCACATTTCAATGGATGGGCTTCAGCCTGCGCCTGAGGCTCAATTATTATGATGACCATGGTATGGTGAGAGTATGATACTAGCCGGCCGCTCTGCGGTTGATCGGGAGTTTCTGTATATAGAAGAAGGTGCGTGCGCCTGTTGGCGAGGGTGAGGATGAGGTTCCTCCTCCTCCTCCTCCTCCTCCTCCTCCTCCTCCTCCTCCTCCTCCATCCTTCTCTTGCCTCCGTCTGTCCTCCTCCACCCCGCAGCTCCATCATCTTCTCCTCCTCCTCCTCCTCCTCCTCCTCCTCCTCCTCCTCCTCCTCCTCCTCCTCCTCCTCATTCCTCCTCTGGGCACCTCCCCCGGGGCGCGGATCCACCGGATCTGTCCGGATCTGTCCGGAAACGGTGCCGGAGGCCGCTCTGGGCTCCTCTGGGCACCTCCCCCGGGGCCGGTTTTGTGAGGATGTCTCAAGCGAGGGCGCCGGTTTGGGATTCGTCACCGGATCCAGCGGATCGGATCTGTCCGGAAACGGTGCCGGAGGCCGCTCTGGGCTCCTCTGGGCACCTCCCCCGGGGCCGGTTTTGTGAGGATGTCTCAAGCGAGGGCGCCGGTTTGGGATTCGTCACCGGATCCACGGATCCACGATCGGATCTGTCCGGAAACGGTGCCGGAGGCCGCTCTGGGCTCCTCTGGGCACCTCCCCCGGGGCCGGTATGTGAGGATGTCTCAAGCGAGGGCGCCGGTTTGGGATTCGTCGGCGGATCCACCGGATCCAGCGGATCCTGTCCAGAAACGGTGCCGGAGGCCGCTCTGGGCTCCTTTGGGCACCTCCCCCGGGGCCGGTTTTGTGAGGATGTCTCAAGCGAGGGCGCCGGTTTGGGATTCGTCGGCGGATCCACCGGATCCACTGGATCTGTCCGGAACCGGTGCCAGAGGCCGCTCTGGGCTCCTCTGGGCACCTCGCCCGGGGCCGGTTTTGTGAGGATGTCTCAAGCGAGGGCGCCGGTTTGGGATTCGTCGGCGGATCCACCGGATCCACCGGATCTGTCCGGAAACGGTGCCGCAGGCCGCTCCATGAGGTTCCAAAGCTTGTCCACAGACAAACATGTGTTCATCGGTCCAGAGGATTTGTCCCCGGACGGGTATACTTGTTCGCAGGCACAACGCCCCTAAACAAACATATGTCCCTGGACGAAGCTTATCAGAACGAGGGGGTCGAACGGTCATTCACTGTCCCAGGGTGCGTGGTTGAAGTGGAGTTCCGTGGTGCGGATTGTTGTTCTTCTTGTTGTTGTTGTTGTTGCTGTTGTGTTTGTTGTTGTTGTTGTTGCTGGTGCTGCTGTTGTTGTTGTTGTTGTTGTTGTTGTTGTGGTTGCTTGTTGCTTGTTGCTTGTTGTTTGTCGTCGTCCCCCCCCCCCAGACCGACCCGCGACCCACCCCGCGACCGACCCGCGACCCAACCCGCGACCCACCCCGCGACCCACCCGCGACCCACCCGCGACCGACCCACGATCCACCCCGCGACCCATCCCCGACCCACCCCGCGACCCACACCGCGACCACCCGCGACCCACCCCGCGACCCACCGCGCCTCTAGTGTTGTTAGGGGGGCCGTTGGTGCCCATGATTGTTTGGTGTGTTCATCCGTGATGTATGCGTGTATGTATATGCGTATGCTGCGCTGTGCGGATACGCATGTATGTATACGTGATATAACCTGCATCAGGACAACAGTTTACATCGGTGATCATATACACAAGAATGCATATGCATCCGCATATACATGTTGGCTTAGATATTTATATGTGCCTATATATGTATGCATGTATGTATGTACATAGTTGTGTGCACGACCCGTGTACACATGTATTGTCGTTAACATCGTCGTAATCGACATCATGGCGTGGGGAGTGTCTCGAAAACCTGGTCGTTTTTCTGACGGCGTCTAGATTTTGAGACGCCCCTTGTGTCGGGGAGGAGGGGTGGGTGGGGGGGTGTCTCGTTTTCTTGGTCCACATTTTTAGGGGTGTCTCGATTTCCAAATCGAGACGCCTGATTTCAAGAGTTTCGTTGGCCTCACGAATATGTTCGAAACGCAGAAGATCTCGACACCAAGCCACCCGCCCGCCCCGCAAGTGCGGGCGCCCCTCACTCTTATCCGCAACTGCGGGCGCATACATCGAAATTACGCTGCGACCGCAGCAGAAGAAATTGCAGGAGGCCGCTCTAGTTGAAGAGGCCTCCTTTTTTTTTTTGTTTTTCATTGCACACACATCACTGCTTCCATACGGAAGCGGCTCAATGTGCTATATGAAACGACAGAGACGTTGGCGGGCGCGCCACGGGAGGTTGCAATCCTTGACGCGACCCCTCCCCAATCTTCATCCCGGTATGTCCAACATGTGTCTGGGCGCTGGTCGCCGCGACACACCTCAAGCATCAAATGGAGCTTGGGTTTAATCCGGAAAATATCTTCCATCCTATCTTCGAGGCCTCCATACAGCAGGGCGAATTTCATCGAACTCTCGCGTAAAACAGCACCGCTGCCATCATGCCAATGATGCATTGCTTCGTAGCATGCATCCAAATGCTCGGCCGCTTTCAAAATTGTGTTGTCGATGGCATCTGCAGGGTCTAAATATTCGCGCGAAACTTCGAGAATCCATGGAACCATGCGGCGCATCGGCGCAGCCATGCATTTCATTTTTGCCCAAGTGGAGGACGTTCGCTTGATGACAGTCTCAGACAAAACGTGCAGGCGATCTGAAATGTCATGTTGATCATACCATTTTTGAAGTTTGTCGTTCAATCGGCGCACCTGCTCTTTTCTATTTGAGCCTGGTGCTTTGCCTTTTCACCAACATGTACTGCAAGGCTTGTCCCCCGAAGTCTGCCGCCGCTCCCATATCGATGGCGTGTAGCCAGTCTACTTTGAAAATGTTGGGCGACCGGACGTATGGGCAAGAAAGCAAGGGCGACACGGTGTTTCCAGCCGAAAGAATTGCTCCAATCAAACTCGAGAAAGTCCGACGAGTCGAGCGCCACCTCGCCGAGTTTCCCGCATCCTTCACCTGTAGGCGGACAGCAAAACGCAAAAAAACATCCCTCCTTGTCCTCCTCCTCTTCCTCCTCCGCCCCTTCCTCTTCCTCCTCCGCCTCCTCCTCCTCCTCCTCCTCCCTCTTCCTCCTGCTCCTCCTCCTCCTCCTCCTCTTCCCTCCTCCTCCCTCCCCCCCTTCCTCTTCCTCCTCGAATTCCTCCCCCCTCTCCTCCCCCCCCCTGATCCTCCTCATCCTCCGCCTCCTCCTTCCCACGTGTGTCATTGTTATCAACTGGCTGTGGCATTTGTGTAGTGGGAAAGATTTTTTCCACACCCTGAACCTCGGAATAACGGCAATCACACATCCAACATATAGGTGAATCAGCAGCTTGGCCCCAGCCAGGAAAACATAACGTTTCCTTGAAACTCTTCCAATCTCCGCGGACCTGCGATAAACATGCTTTTGGTAAGCGCCGCCCAGATGTAGCATTTTTTTGGCGTTTCTCTGTCTTTCCGAACGGCTGCCCGTCGTGTCGTTTGTCTGGCCATCGGCCGGAAGCGAGGACTTCAAAACTCCAGCGCACAACTTCCATAATGGCGTCCCAAGTTCCTTTTGCAAAGCAACTTTTTTTCATGCACGTAATTGGGCACCGCAAACTGGAGAAGCGGCCGACAATGCCAGGAAATGATAACACACACAACTTCGATTGATTCATTTCTTTTTGCTGACTGGACAGGCACGCCGTCGCTCCAGAGCCCAAGCGGCGCAAGAGGGCATCCAGCTTCCTCCTCAGCTGCCCCGTGATCTCGCCTCGACAACTCGTCTAAACCATCCTTGCTGTACAAGGCCGCCTCGCTACCGAAATCGTGCAGCGTAGCGAAAATCTCATGCGGAAGAAGAAAATGCAGCGGTTTGTTCTCGACCGTCTGGCGGGTGGCGTTCCAAGTGGGTACGGTCGCAGAATACAGAGACGGCCACTTCGAATTTTTAAGATAACTCCTCCTCATATCTCGGGACCGGTTCCCAAGAAATTTCTTCGCCTTGAAGCCATTTACACCGCATCTGCCTAAATTATGCGATAATCTGCCGACTCTGTATGCGGGGAGCATATTCTCAGCATACATATCTCGCACGTCATGGCCAATGCATTTCGCAGGGTCACCATCCAAGTCAGCATCTGCTGGCCTCCGCTTTTTTCCTTTCAACATTAGGTTGAACGCTCAAGAGGCCGCTGGCAACTCGAACCGGAAAAGGCTGCGATGTGACAAAGAATACGCTTGGACTGCTTGGGAAGAGATTGCCATCTGAGCGCACTTGGGAACATATATACCTCTAGGGCGTGCACGCAACAAAGTATCGCGCCAAGAGGCCTCCTTAGCACTTCACAGGAGGCCTCCTGTTCAAACCAGCATCAAGAATGCGCACAAAGGACAATGGATAATGAGGATGCTCAGGAGGGGGACGAGGAGGAGTGGGGGGAGGAGGGGAAATACTCGGAGGCAGGGGCCGACGCGGTGGAGGACCGAACCCCAGAAAGGGTTTCTGCTTCCTCTGGAAGAGGCGTCTCTGGTGCTCCACGGGCGCGTGCCCAAGCAAATGTGCCCGGAATGGACACATGCATGATATGGAAATATGAATCGTGCTTAGGCCTTCAATAGCTGCTCCCACTGCTTCTTGGCCTTCTTCACAGCCGCAAGATGGTCATCCGCTGTCGTGCGAATCCTCTTCATGTCCTGAAGGCTCACATCTGCGTTGTCCTCCCATACCGCCAAGGTCGCCTCTGCCTGCGTCAAGAACTCCGTGAGCGTGCTTTTCTGCTGGATGATTTTGTCCACCTCTGTATTGTAAACGGGTTTGCTCTGGGCCTTGGTCTTGAGCTTCGCCTCGATCGCAAACAGAGCCGGGGGCAACGCGTGCAGCGACTTCAGAATGGCCCTGCGGAAACCGTGCTCCGAAGCCACGGCAATGACACAGCCCCTCGCCCTCCCCCTCCTCTCTGCTAACCCCCATCCCTCCACCACCAGAATTCCCAGTTGGCCATTGTCGTGGTTTCAAGAGCTTCGCTCCTGAGCTGCTTCGCCTCCTCGGCCTCCTCGGCGTTCTTGGTCTCCTCCTTCACGCCGTCCTTCAGGGCCTGCACGCCCATTCGGTCAGCAATGCTCGAGACGGTCTTGTCCTTCACATCGGCGGTTGCTCTCCATGCCTTGCTGTGGATCTCGGCGCTGGAACTCTCCCGAGAGGTCTCGTACCAGTAGCGCTCTGTCAAAAGCGGGTTCTCCTCTTCCGTGAAAGGGAAATCATCCGGATTGATGCCTTGTTCCGCGATGCATGCAACCTGGGTTCACGGGGGCACTCTGTCTCCGACTCGCACGCACAAAAACAAATGGGCTTGGCACAGAAGTGGCGCAGCGAGCTCGCGAGACGAAGTGCCTGTGCGAAACCAGATTTGGATGCCTGCGGCGCCGTGTTTCTTGTAAGAGTGATTGATGACGTCATCAGCCATTTGAGCCATATTCTTCCTGGTAGTGGGGTTCACGAGGTCAGACGCGCTCGGCGTGATGTTGTTGAAACCGAGAATCTGCAGCCTGACACAGAAAATCCGTAGTTCACTTGCACATGGGGCGGCCTCCTTTGAAGGAGGCCGCCCTGAACAAACGGATGAGGTAAATAACACACACACACACATGGGGCACAATATGCACGCCACAACGGAAATCGAGGCCTTGTCCACCACCCGTCCTTCTGGATGTTCACCTCCTTGTCTCTCTTGTCCATGCCCTCTGTGTAATCACTGGTCCAAGACAAGTTGTCCTTGCCGTTCTTCTCATATTTGAGCAAGAATTTCTGCCGGGCGTCTTTCGTAGAGCACAACCCCCATTGGTCGAGCGCTTTTTTCGCCTCCTCCCGTTTCTTTGGATCTGAATGGTGATCCCTCCTGTAGGCAAGCATGTTCTCCATCCTCTTCTTGCTTTTGGTATAATCGGCGAGATCTTCCAAAAGCTCCTCATCATCTTGGCTGCCGGGGCGCGCTGCCTGGCCAGGTCGCAGGCATCACTCCCACTCATACTCCCTAATTATTGTTACTCCTACTCCTACTCCCTATCCTACTCCTACGCCTCCTGCTCCATCATCTCCATACGCCTGCGTTTACCTACGGGGAGTTTCATTACCAGTCCGAATTGCCTCAGCCGCGCCCTCGAGGACAGGCTGGGCCAGGCGTCCCCCGCGACCATCGGCATTCCCACTGGATGATCCAGCAGCGCCTCTGGCAACGCAACTCGAAAAACTGCACGCAAGGACCGATGTTTTATCATGCTGGCTCCTAACAAATTCACGCGCGCAATGTGCACAACGATCTCGTCTCACAACATGACAAAACAACACATGCACGTGCAAGCGCCTGGTTCCACCTTCGGTGCTGCCGGCCTCGTTTGGCTTGGCGCCCGCTGGCGTTTTGGGGAGCGGGAGCGTTGTGCGGGAGGCTTGGCCGCGGCTTTCTTGGCTGCAGGCTTCTTCGGCACCCCGCGCGCGGGCATGAAGTGCCACAGCGCGATGAGCAGCCAAACAAACAGCGCTGTCATGGCTGCAACAGAACCTCTGGCCTTGAATGGAATCGAGAACAGCAAAAGAAGTTCACGCCTAGAGCCACTTGAGCTGCAATGCGTATTCACAAACCATCAGCTTGCACCGAATACAATGAATATGGAATGACGGCGCTTCACGCGACACACATGTCGAAACTACAACTGCAACGGTCTGTCTTGACACATAATCGTGCGATGGTGTTTGTCTCGCGCATGGTCCTCCTCCTTTTCCTCCTCCTCCTCCTCCTCCTCCCCCTCCTTTTCCTCCTCCTCCTCCTCCCCCTCCCTGGCACGCGCCCCTATGGCCTTTTCGGCCTCTGGCGGAAATGGCCCGCCAGATTTTGCTTGCCAGCCGACTTTTGGCTTTTGCTGCTCTGTGGCGCTGCGCTCTGTTGCCATATAAGTTGCGCTCCCGCTGAAACGCGGCGCAGATTTTTCGCTCGCCTGGAGCCTCCTGGGGCCCTGAAGCCTCGTAGGGCTCTGCTGGGGCTCCTCCTGAGGCCTCCTGGGGCCTCCTGACGCCTCCAGGGGCCTCTTGTGCTCTTCTGGCGTGTCCTCGCGTGTCCTGGCGTTCCTGGGGCCTCGTGGGGCTTCCTGGGGCCTCCGGAGGCCTTCGGAACCTCCTGGGGCCCCGTGGGGTTTTCTGAAACATCTTGGGGCCTCCGGGGGTTTCCTGGGGCCTCGATTTCCTGGCGCCTCCTGGGGGGCGCTCCTGACGCCTCCTAAGGCTTCCTCAGGCCTCCTGTGGACATGTCTCGCGAAGCATCTTGAGACCTTCCCGAGCGAACAAGAAATTAGGATGCCTCCTTCCCTGCAGGAGGCATCCTTTTCCAAATGCGCGCGGCGACCATCTGGATGCGCAACGGAAGTTGGGCGAACATCTCGACATGTATGCGGCATGGGCTGGAAATGTTGAACGATCATATGCCAATTTGTAAGGGGTAAAATAATTTACCGGTAAATTTTTTTACCCCCTATGTTCTGTTTGTTTTATTTGTTTGAGAGGGGTAAAATTTTTTACCGGTAAGTTTTTTTACCCTCGCGCCCGGTCTGATACGACCAACATGAAGGTCAAACTGCTCGTGCACAACAACCAAGCATGGCGCGAATGCGAAGACATATGCAGACAATCAAAGGCAACGTGCAGGAAGGCGGCCCCGAAAATTGCATGCAACAAAGCACGCACGTCAATGCCACGCAACATTTCCAAAGCACAGCAGTACGGCGGTCAAATAAAAATACCCTTGCCCGGAAAGTTGCCGCTCTCGCGGCCGTTGCTAGCGTTCGCGGCCGAGGCAGGTGGCGACGCAGCATCTGAGAGACGCCGCGCCGCTTCGAGCTGCGCGTGGAGCACCGACGCGGCAAGAGCCTGCAGGCGCCCTCCTTTACAATTACTCAAGATGAATACTACTCTCCTCTCTCCCCTGAGTACGTCCGGGACGTATGCGCCCCCGCGGGTCCTGTCTTTTTACACACAGGATTCCCCGGAGTTCGGTTTTCGCCTGCGTTTTTTTTCAAAATGCTGCTCTCGCTGCGGCGTTGCCCTCATTTTCGGGCTTCCGCTCGTTCCGAATCGTGTTCCCGCTGCAGCGCTGGCCTCATTTACATTTACAATTACAATACGTCGTCGCCGTCGCCGTCGTCGTCGTCGCCGCCGTCGTCGTCGTGGTCGTCGTCGTGGTCGTCGTCGTGGTCGTCGTCGTCGTCGTCGTCGTCGTGGTCGTCGTCAGGCGTCGTCGCGCTTTCGATCGTTCCTAATTCCGTACTCTTTCGGGATCATTGCCGTGCTCGACATCTGACTGTGCGAATAAAGAGGATATCTACGTCATGGTAAGGGATGGGAGGGAGGGGTTGGACGTCATATATGACGTGAGCACACCTAGCTTGTCCTCCTCCCCCTCCTCCTCCTGCTCCTGCTCCTGACAAGATCCAGCCCCTCCCCCTTTTTCCTCCTCAGCATCGGTAGTGCGAGGAGGAAGGGGGGGGGGGGGGATCTTGTCAGCTTATTGGAACGTGTATGATTTTGTCCACCGATGACACCTCCGGCCTCCCTGGCGGCGGCGGCGGGGAGCAGTGCTGGAAGCGCCAAGGTGGGAAGCCGTGCTGGTGCTGCTGCAGCTGTTGCTGCTGTTGTTGTTGCTCCTGCTGTTTCAGGGCCGTCTCTGCGGCGTCAGCTGGCGGCCGCACTGGCGGCGGCGGGGGTGGTGGCCAGGTCTGCTGCTGTTGCTGCGGCAGCTGCTGCTGTTGCTGCGGCTGCTGCTGCAGGGCCGTCTCTGGGGCGTCAGCTGGCGGCCGCACTGGTGGCGGCGGGGGTGGTGGCCAGGTCTGCTGCTGTTGCTGCGGCAGCTGCTGCTGTTGCTGCGGCAGCTGCTGCTGTTGCTGCAGTTGCCGCTGGGCTGCCCGCCTCAGTTCAAATATCGCTTTTCATGTGTAATGACAAGAGGGATCGTTACAAGTGCGAGGAGGCCTCCTTTGGCAGGAGGCCTCGCATGGCTGAAAACGAACAGGAATGTGGCAACGCAAATACTTCGAAATTGTATCTTCACAAAAAAGAGATCGCGCTTATCATGTGTGATGACTAGAGGGACCGTTACAAGTGCTAGGAGGCCTCCTTTGGCAGGAGGCCTCGCATAGCTGAGAACGCATACGTATGTGGCAATACAAACACTTCGAAATTAGATCTTCCGCAACAAAGCAGTCGCAATTGCCCGGACGCGCGCGCTGACAGTCTAAGGCAACCGCAGCTCTCGCTTTTTCCCCTTGTTCCTCCATCCAGACCTTGTTTGCGAGAGCGCAGGATTCGCGAGCGAGCACTGCTTGTTCGCACACGTGCCCTTGCCCGTGTACGCGTTCTTGTTACACACCAAGCAACGGCGCCTGAAGCGGCGAGCCCCGTTCCGCAGCGACGGCTGCGCGTCCTCGAAATCGTTCGCGTCGTCGTCGTCGTCCTGGACGGGCGCATGGCCGTCGCCACGACGAGGCGCTCCACCGCCACCGTCGGGAGGCAGGCCGCCGCCGCTTGACGCGGAAGCTGCCGTGGCGCCCTCGGAGACCAGAAGCACCCCTGACCCCCCACAGGGTGCCTTGTGGGAGGCCTGTCGGGGCAGGAAGATCAGGGAAATTCGTAAATAGCCGCAGAATTCGAAACCCCCTTCTGTTAGTTTAAACAGGGGGGTCTAAATTTCTGCTCCCAGGAAGAATTTTTGGGACCACCCGAAATGGAGTTTGGGGTTTCTGGGCCCACCCCAGGATTGTTTTTTCGGCCTGCCCCAAGGCGGGTTTCTGGGCCCACCAAATGGTGGGTTTGGGGTTTTCGGCCCCCGGGGGCCCCGAGGGTGGGCTTTGGGGCCCACCCTGGGGGCAGTTCCGTTCGAAAATGAACAAAATACCGACCAGTCGGTATTTTGGTTTCCTTTCTCAGCTGTTCGGAGAAGACGAACCTGCGGCAGAGTGGTGCCTCTTTCTCCTCCTCCGCCCCCCTCCTCCTCCCCCCTCCGTCGCGCATTGGTTTTTTGCGCTCGGGCTCCTGCGCAAGCAGCAGGAGGAGCACCGCGCGCAGCATGGCGGCGGCTGCGGTGGCGGGGGGCCGCGGGCCGCCCGGCGCTGCCCGAGCGTCACGGTCTGGTTTGGCGCGGAGCGGCGGGCGAAAGATACGCGCGATAAAATGCTGGAGGCCTCCTTGAATGAACGCCAGGAGGCCTCCGTGCCAAAGAGTGCGCATCGCGTATGCATATCACACATACCTGCAGGCGCAAGAAGCCCCCGTTGCATGAACAGCAAGAGGCCCCATTGACCAAGATAATGTACCTACTCCGAGCATCAAGCATACTTGAAGCCAAATATAATATGCCGGCATATTATATACATGTACATGCGTATTCGTACTAATACACACACGCGCATCAGAGCCGCACTCCTGAACATTCTCTTGCACATAAGCTTATTGGCACTGCATGTTTGAGTCACATCCATACGCGTGGTTCCCACCTCATGGCAGGCAACTTAACCCTGAACATGCGTCTGAATCGGTACAGGATCACACGCTGAAGTTCCCTACGACAGGAGCGCAAACAAACTTGCACGAACGTTATGGTTTTCTGCGACACCGAGAGGGACGTCTGTTGCGCAAAGCGCGAGTGAAAGTTGAATGGCATGGAAACCAAAGGGGCGCTCGCTCTGCCCTAACCTATTCAACCGGGCCCGAGCTCCTCGCTCAACTTGGAAGCCAACCAATCTTTCGCGGCGCCCTCCTCCACGACGCCTTGCTCCATGAGCTCGGCGCACTTCTTACAAAGATCCCTGAGGCACTCCTCACTAGCCTTGCAGCCGCTGCCACCTACCGTCGCGATCTCCTTTTTTGTGGCTCTGAGGACCACGCCTGCCCTGTGCCTCGGACGCTTGTAATAGTGCACGTAATACCTCCCGGGCGCGCTGGGCACCGCGGCTGGGTCGTGCGGCGCCGCCGCCATTGCCTCAGCCACGAGCGCGGGCTCGCGCGCTGCTGGAGCCGCAGGCGCGGCCTCAGGCGCCGCTGCCTCTCCAGGCGCTCCTGCCACCGCAGCGGGCCTTTTGAACGCGGCCTCAGGTGCCGCCGCCGCTGCAGGCCTTCTGCGCGCGCCCTGATGCGCGCCAGCCTCCGCCTTCGCCTCCTTGGCCTGGGCTCTGGCAAGGGCCTTCGCCGCCGCCTCGGCGCTCCTCTTCTGAGCCCTGGCGCCTTCCTCCTTGTCAGCGAGCAAGGCGTTGGCGAGCTCCGTTTCCTTCTCATCGCAGCCTTCGAAGCGGTACACCAAGAAACCATTTTCGCCTGCCCTCAGTTTCGCCAGCATGCCGCCCTTGTGGGCTTCCATCTTGTTGTAGTCGAACCACACTGCCTCCTATGGAAGAACGAGAGCTGCATTCGAGATGGAGGAGGAGGAGGAGGAGGGAGAGCAGAAGGAGCAAGAGCAGAGGCAGGAGCAGGAGGAGGCGGATGATGATTATGGGAACGCGGATCCTCGTTCTGCGTTGGCGCGGCCTTGGCCGCCCTCGTCGTGGCGCTCATGGCCTGCTCGTCTGTCGAAGATATACTCTTTGGAGACGAGACCACTGGGATCAGCTCGCGTCGGCGCTTAACATCTGGCGACACACCGTACAAGTCCCAGACGCTCGATGACCGTTTTGCAGCAGCGGAGGTGGGCACATCAGCGAGTGCTCTTTCACCTGCTGGGCAGCAATGCGTACTCGACTCCTCCTCCTCCTCGTCCTCCTCCTCCTCCTCCTCCTCTTCCTCCTCCTGTTCCTCCTGCTCCTCGTCGTCCTCTCCCTCCTTCTTCTCCTCCTCGACTCCCCCTTTCTGCCCGTCCTTCTTCTCTTCGCCACTCCTCCCCGTCCTCCTCCTCCTACGCCTCCTCCTCCTCCTCCTCCTCCTTCTCTTCCTCCTCCTCCTCCTCCACCTCCTCCTCCTCCGGTCCCTCCTCCTCCTACTCCTCCTCCTCCTCCTCCTCCTCCTCCTCCCCCTCCTCCTCCTTCGTCCTCCTATTCGCCCTTGCCCTCATCCTCGTTCTCCATTCCTCCTCTCCCACGTCCTCCTCGTCCTCCTCGCCTCTCCTCCACGTCTACCCCCTCCCCCTCCTCCTCCTCCAGTGCCCGAGTGGTGCTGCGGGATCCCACAGCAAGCAATTGGTTTGGCCCCCCCTCCTCGCCTGCGGCCGGAGAGGCCTCTATGGCGGGAGAGCTGTGTGAGGGGTTCGGCGAGGGACTCGGCACGGGGCGGCCGCTCCTCGCGTTCCACTTGGCAGCAACCGCGCGCGCGCTGGCGTGCACCCGCGCTCCAGTCACCATCTGCTTCGCCTTGTCAGAGCAGAAGGACATGGCGCTGCACATGCCCTTGGCCCAGCGGCCAGCATCATCCTTGCTCAAATTTGTGTGCCTGGACGCGAGCCTCTCCAACTGTTTTTTGGCCAGCCGCCTGGTGCCCTCTGCTGCGCCGCATAGGAAGCCTTGGTTGTTCGCGATCACATCCTCCGACGAGCCCTGCACGTCGCACCGCTCAATCTCGATGCTGTTGGCTTTCAGCAGCCGAACGACATCATCGTCGCTGAGATCAGCAGTCACGCGGGGGGCGGACCCACCTGCAGCCATGCAGCCTGAGCCTATTGCGCAAGATACATGCATAGCCAACGCCGAAGGCAAGAGGGGGCCTCCTTGATCGAGGAGGCCCCCTTCTACGCACGAGCTAGCGAGGGCTGCTACGGATTGTCGAGAAACCATAAGCGAATGCACGCGTGCATGCGTCCAGGGACAAATATGCATGCGCCCGCAGTTGCGGATAAGAATGAGGGGCGCCCGCAGTTGCGGATAAGAGTGAGGGGCGGGCGGGTGGCTTGGTGTCGAGATCTTGTGCGTTTCGAACATATTCGTGAGACCAACGAAACTCTTGAAATCAGGCGTCACCCCTAAAAATGCGGACCAAGAGAACGAGACACCCCCCCCCCCCCACCCACCCCTCCCCCCCGACACCAGGGGCGTCTATTTCGAGACGCCGTCAAAAAAAAAAAACGACCAGGTTTTCGAGACACTCCCTACGCCATGATGTCGATTACGACGATGTTAACGACAATGCATGTGTACACGGGTCGTGCACACAACTATATACATACATGCATACATACATAGGCACATATAAATATCTAAGCCAACATGTATATGCGGATGCATATACATTCTTGTGTATATGATCACCGATGTAAGCTGTTGCACTGATGAAAGTGATATCACGTATACATACATGCGTATCCGCACAGCGCAGCATACGCATATACTTATACGCATACATCACGGATGAACACACCAAACAATCATGGGCACCAACGGCCCCCCTAAGAACACTAGAGGCGCGGTGGGTCGCGGGGTGGGTCGCGGGTGGTCGCGGTGTGGGTCGCGGGGTGGGTCGGGGATGGGTCGCGGGGTGGATCGTGGGTCGGTCGCGGGTGGGTCGCGGGTGGGTCGCGGGGTGGGTCGCGGGTTGGGTCGCGGGTCGGTCGCGGGGTGGGTCGCGGGTCGGTCTGGGGGGGGGGGGCGACGACAAACAACAACAAGCAACAACAACAACAACAACAACTTTTTTTTCAACACCCACTCGGCAACCCCGATACAAGAAAGCTTCTGGAAACGGTGTCTGGTCGCCTGGGCCACGTCGCTTGGACGCGTCACACGCTGCGGCCTCCTGGATTTCACCGAGGAGAGGAAGGGCAGAAAAAGTGAGGGTTAAAACTGAGGGGCCCTCGTGTCGTCGTTGTCTAGGCTCCTACAACAACAACAACAACAACAATCCGCACCGCGGAACTCCACTTCAGCCACGCACCCAGGGACAGTGAATGACCGTTCGGCCCCCTCACTCTGACGCGTCAGTCGTTGTTGTCCACGGACGCACACTTGTCCCTGGACAGAGGCTTGGCCGTGGACGAGTATACTTGTCCCTGGACACATGTGCACTTGTCCAGGGACATGTATACTCGTCCCTGGACAAAACATGCGTCCCTGAACCAGTTTTCAAAGATGATCATTGGTCCGTGGACACACGTTGTCCACGGACAGCCTTTGGAACCTCATGGCTCTGGGCTCCTCTGGGCACCTCCCCCGAGGCCGGTTTTGTGAGGATGTCTCAAGCGAGGGCGCCGGTTTGGGATTCGTCGGCGGATCCACCGGATCCACCGGATCTGTCCGGAAACGGTGCCGGAGGCCGCTCTGGGCTCCTCTGGGCACCTCCCCCGGGGTCGTGAGGATGTCTCAAGCGAGGGCGCCGGTTTTTGGGATTCGTCGGCGGACCACCGGATCCACCGGATCTGTCCCGGAAACGGTGCCGGAGGCCGCTCTGGGCTCCTCTGGGCACCTCCCCCGGGGCCGGTTTCTGTGGGCAGGAGGATGTCTCAAGCGAGGGCGCCGGTTTGGGATTCGTCACCGGATCCACCGGATCTGTCCGGAAACGGTGCCGGAGGCCGCTCTGGGCTCCTCTGGGCACCTCCCCCGGGGCCGGTTTTGTGAGGATGTCTCAAGCGAGGGCGCCGGTTTGGGATTCGTCACCGGATCCACCGGATCTGTCCGGAAACGGTGCCGGAGGCCGCTCTGGGCTCCTCTGGGCACCTCCCCCGAGGCCGGTTTTGTGAGGATGTCTCAAGCGAGGGCGCCGGTTTGGGATTCGTCGGCGGATCCACCGGATCTGTCCGGAAACGGTGCCGGAGGCCGCTCTGGGCTCCTCTGGGCACCTCCCCCGGGGCCGGTTTTGTGAGGATGTCTCAAGCGAGGGCGCCGGTTTGGGATTCGTCACCGGATCCACCGGATCTGTCCGGAAACGGTGCCGGAGGCCGCTCTGGGCTCCTCTGGGCACCTCCCCCGGGGCCGGTTTTGTGAGGATGTCTCAAGCGAGGGCGCCGGTTTGGGATTCGTCGGCGGATCCACCGGATCTGTCCGGAAACGGTGCCGGAGGCCGCTCTGGGCTCCTCTGGGCACCTCCCCCGGGGCCGGTTTTGTGAGGATGTCTCAAGCGAGGGCGCCGGTTTGGGATTCGTCGGCGGATCCACCGGATCTGTCCGGAAACGGTGCCGGAGGCCGCTCTGGGCTCCTCTGGGCACCTCCCCCGGGGCCGGTTTTGTGAGGATGTCTCAAGCGAGGGCGCCGGTTTGGGATTCGTCGGCGGATCCACCGGATCCAGCGGATCTGTCCGGAAACGGTGCCGGAGGCCGCTCTGGGCTCCTCTGGGCACCTCCCCCGGGGCCGGTTTTGTGAGGATGTCTCAAGCGAGGCGCCGGTTTGGGATTCGTCGGCGGATCCACCGGATCCAGCGGATCTGTCCGGAAACGGTGCCGGAGGCCGCTCTGGGCTCCTCTGGGCACCTCCCCCGGGGCCGGTTTTGTGAGGATGTCTCAAGCGAGGGCGCCGGTTCGGGATTCGTCGGCGGATCCACCGGATCCACCGGATCTGTCCGGAAACGGTGCCGGAGGCCGCTCTGGGCTCCTCTGGGCACCTCCCCCGGGGCCGGTTTTGTGAGGATGTCTCAAGCGAGGGCGCCGGTTTGGGATTCGTCACCGGATCCAGCGGATCCAGCGGATCCACTGGATCTGTCCGGAAACGGTGCCGGAGGCCGCTCTGGGCTCCTCTGGGCACCTCCCCCGGGGCCGGTTTTGTGAGGATGTCTCAAGCGAGGGCGCCGGTTTGGGATTCGTCACCGGATCCAGCGGATCCAGCGGATCCACCGGATCTGTCCGGAAACGGTGCCGGAGGCCGCTCTGGGCTCCTCTGGGCACCTCCCCCGGGGCCGGTTTTGTGAGGATGTCTCAAGCGAGGGCGCCGGTTTGGGATTCGTCGGCGGATCCACCGGATCCGATCTGTCCGGAAACGGTGCCGGAGGCCGCTCTGGGCTCCTCTGGGCACCTCCCCCGGGGCCGGTTTTGTGAGGATGTCTCAAGCGAGGGCGCCGGTTTGGGATTCGTCGGCGGATCCACCGGATCCACCGGATCTGTCCGGAAACGGTGCCGGAGGCCGCTCTGGGCTCCTCTGGGCACCTCCCCCGGGGCCGGTTTTGTGAGGATGTCTCAAGCGAGGGCGCCGGTTTGGGATTCGTCGGCTGATCCACCGGATCCACCGGATCTGTCCGGAAACGGTGCCGGAGGCCGCTCTGGGCCCCTGTGCTCCCCGCGCCGGGGATGAGGATGACGGTAGTTCCACAGAAATTCCCTCAAACCAGGCCGGTCTGCGCGAGCGCGCAAAGAAGAAAGATGAACCCAAGGGAGGACGTCATTGAGAAGGAGGCGGAGGAGAAGGAGCACAGTGCAGCCAAAGCCCTCAAAGACGCCCCAAATGGGTCTCCGCGGGTGGTCGAGCGAAGGCCAGCAGGCTTGGCCGGGCGCCGCGGCTTTGCTTGCGGCGGGGATTGCAACCTCCGCGTGGGCACTGGGCGAAGGCTCAGCTTATTTCTTTCAGAAACCGTGTTTTGGTCTTCTGCATTCTGCGAAGTGGTTGGCGCTGCAAGCCACCACCACCGACTCCCACCTCCGCCCCGAAGAGGGCTGGTTGACCCGATGCCGCACTGGTTGCCGCGGCCTTCGCGGCACGCTTCTGCCGGACTCGGACGGGCGCCCGAAGAGGCGCCTCTTCGGGCGGCTTCTCCTGCCCGTGCTTACCGAACGGCACGGGCGGTGGTAGTGGACTTGTGCGCATGTTGCAAGCCAGTTTGGGAAATTGCGATGACTGCGATGTTTCTATCAAAGCGATGGAAGGATTTGTTTCACCTAGTGAAGACAGGCCCGAGCAGCATCCGTAAACGCAGCAACCAGTCTCGTTTTCTGAATTCGGACCAATTATACTTATTAAGCCCTTTCTTTATCACGACCGAAGTGCAGCGATGGCACGCCTGGCTCTGCAGCGCCTGCGAGAGATTGAGCGATTTTGATTATGTGAAAAAAACAATCGAAGCAGCATCACATATTTTTGCTTACTGAGGCTCTCTTGAGGATTCCCCTGGGGCTCTCTTTCGGAGAGTTTTGGGGCTACCTTGAGTGTTCTGGGGGCCTCTCCAGTGTGGTGAAGCTCTTCGGGAGTCATCTTAGAAAGCCTCTTGGGCATATTGGCGGCGACGGAGTTGATTTTGAGGCTCCGAGGGCTCTGGAGGTGCGTTGACGAGCTCGTTCCACCCCTATCTCTAACGTGATTTGGGACTCCAAGGGAGAGGAAAGGGGGAGGGGGACAGCCAATGTCTGCCCGTCTTGGCGGCCTTGGTAGCCTTGCCCGGCCGTCTTGGAAGGCTTGGACAGCGGCCAGGGAGGTGTCGGGGCGGCCTAGGGAGCCTCAGGATGGGGGGGGGCGGTCGGCGCATGCGGCACACCGTGCCGAGAGGGGGGGGCGGCCTTTGAAAACACAGAAGCCTTACCGTTCCAACAGGGGGGCACGGCAGCGCGCTGCCGCTGTGTGCTGTAGATCGACTGTTGGAACACCTCGACGTCGGCACGTGGACAGCGCAGGCATCCGAAGTGACAAGCACACCAGCCACGAGGTTGTAGGGACGCCTGAGACAGAGCGAGCGGCGCCCATCACGATAGCGAGGCTGGGGTGTGGAGAGCAGTCCCCCAGCCTGTGCCTGCACCTACAGTGCCGGTTTCAATACATGCTCCGCGTGCGGACCATGTATTGAAAAATAAAGGGCTGATTAATACATACAAGGATGAGTTCATGCATTCCTTTATTCATAAACCAACCATGTATTCAATTCCCATATATATATATATATATATAGATATTGAAAATCCAATGTGTGAAAACTCGCCCTGTAGGTGTAGAAAACAAAAATCCGAAACACTTTGGTTGGTCCGCCGCCGCCCGTGGGCGCCTCGTGCGCTGGGCGGGCCCGCCGAGGAATTTCGCCGCGCCGGCGCCCGCAGGCGCCTCGTGGGCGCCCCGTGCGCGGGGTGGGCCCGCCGAGGGCTCGCCGCGTGGCCGCCCTGCGGGCGCCTCCTCCTGCGCCTCCTCCTCCCTCTCCTCCCTCTCCTCCTCCTCTCCTCCTCCTCCTCCTCCTCCTCCACCTCTCCTCCTCCCCTCCTCCTCCTCCGCCGCCTCCCCCTCCTCCGCCTCCTCCTCCTCCGCCTCCTCCTCCTCCTCCTCCTCCTCCTCCTCCTCCTCTCCTCCTCCCCCTCTCCTCCCTCTCCTCCTCTCCTCCCCCATCCTCCTGCTCCTGCTCCTCCTGCTCCTCCTGCTCCTCCTTCCCTCTCCTCCTCCTCCTCCTCCTCCGCCTCCGCCTCCTCCTCCTCCTCCTCCTCCTCCTCCTACCTCCCCTCCATCCTCCTCCTCCTCCTCCTCCTCCTCCTCCTCCTCCTTCCTCCCCTCCCCCTCCCCTCCCCCTCCCCATCCCCCTCCCCCTCCTCCTCCCCCCCTCGGTGCACGGGCCTCGTGACTTGGAGCCGGTGCGCTCGGTGGGTCCGCCGAGGTCTCGCCGGGTTGCCGACTGGCGGCTCCTCGTGGGCGCAGCCTGCGCACACCATCTTCGGGGGGGGGGCCAACAATGCACCACCACCGGCAACGCGCAGAGGGGGGTAGGGGGAGGGGGAAGGCTTCTTAAAGCACCCCTGCTTCTTAGAAGGCGCCAGCCTTCTTGTAGATGGAAGCCCGCGCCTTCTAAGAAGCAGCCTCCTTCTAAGAAGCCTTCCCCCCTCCCCCTACCCCCCTGTGCGCGCCGCCAACACCACCAGCCCCCGGCCAGGTCCGTCCTGGGCCCTGGACTGGTGCATAGACCTCCAGGCCTAGGCCAGGAGGGCCTGTGCACCGGTCCAGGGCCCAGGGTGGGCCTGGCCAGGGCTGGTGGTGGTGTATTGTTTGGAGCCCTCCTGCATCTATAGCGCGCACCTCATCGACTGCACCACATAGCTGGCACGGCGTAGCACACACCAAATAGATCACACCACACGGCTTGCACCGCACTGCACACGCATGCTGCACCACATGTTACGTACATCACAGTTCAGACCGCATGCGCTCGCTTCCCGAGAGGAGAACAGACTCGATCACTCTGCCTCCTGGACATGTGACAAACTACAGATGGGTCTGCCTGATCGCTCACCTCTCGCATGAGTTCATACAGTCCCAGGCAGTCTCCTGATCGACCCCTCCTCATCCCCGTCACCTGATACCATGCGCGCGTTCGCCTATCACAAAAGATAACATTTCAGTAATCCCTTACAGCAAGCTGCTGAAGGTTTTCACGCTCGCGCACATGTCGGGATCGCATCAAACACGCCAGTGTTGCAAGGAATTCAACCTAAAACAACAAACGCCCTTAGGTTTGTCATTACAAGTCTGGCAGATATTCTGCCCGCGCGCACTTGCTCAACTGATGTGAACACCAGGTGATCTTGACAACTCCGCCCAGAAACCGTATTTTGATTTCACCAAGTGGTGCATCCGCATTGATCCAGCATGCGAAGCAAATCATAATAGAGCTCTTCAAATATGTAAAACAGTAGTTTTGTAACAAGATGTTTGCCAGGGTTCTTGGACTCCCGCGCGCGCACACTTACTCACCATAACCCTCACCAGGGCCGCCGCATCACGTCATCGTCGCGAGCAAACGCCGCCAGGGCCGCCATCATCACTCAAGCACCTGCGTCATCGGCACATGGACATCATCATCGTCATCGGCGTTAGCATCATCGGCACCGTCATTGGCTTTGCCGTCGTCGTCATCATCGCCACCACCTTTGCTGCTATCATCATCGTTGCCGCCGTTGTCGACGCCATCATGATACCGCGCCGGCCCCATCCACCGAGCCGCATGGAAGTGCCCAAGCGCCAGCGCGCCCTTCGACACGCGCTGGGGAGTTCACATGGGTCAGCGCCGTCGTGGCCGCATCGGCTCTGCCAAGCCAGATGGCCGCTCTTCGCGCGAGCCTGCGCGCGCGAGCGCGGCCGCAGAGGTGCGCCAGCCATGGCCGAGCAGTCATCGCGATCGCCGCAGCATGGATTTTGCAAAGCAAATTGCGGGTGGGAGGGTAGGGTGATCTCTCGAGCAGCGGAGTTGACAATTCAAAATTATTCATACGTCTTTGATTCCGCTGCGTAACTCTAGTTGAACCGCATAGCTTACACCACATGGCTCACATCACATTGATTATATTCATACATATATGTGTATGCATAGCGCACCCTAGATTACACCATCAAGCTCATACCACAGAATTTGTACCACGCAGCATGCACCACATACTTAACGCCACTGCTATCGCATCACCCATGTGTTGCGCGACATCGCTTACACCTCACACCTCCCATCACGTATATCACACGTCATATCACACAGCAACTCGTGCAAATCTCATTGTTTGGGGTCTACGCTGGCGAACATCGTGTTTTCCAAATGTTGCTGGGGGGTGTGAGGAGAGGGTGGGCGGGTGCAAGGAGGGTGGTGGCAGTGTTAAGTGGTCCGTGCGAGGCCCAGCCAGAATTCGAGCACACGGGCACCTCTTCAGCCTCAGATGCGCTGGAACCCTCGCAGACGGCGCCCAGGCAGCAGCAGCAGCAGCAGCAGCAGCAGCAGCAATCTGAGGAGTTTGCCCAGCAGGCACAAGAGGTCGCAACTTTGGGTGCAGTCGGTAGCACAGATCCGCAGCGGGCATCTGGACAGCAGCGGCCAGAGGAGTGCGCCCAGCCCGCGGGAGCGGACGAGAGCTTGGACGAGAGTTTGGACGCTTTCGCCCAGACACCCGAGAAGCAAGACTTGCCACAGCAGCGGCCAGAGGAGCCTCCCCAGCCGCCAGCAGCGGCGGCGAGCCTGGGCGAGGCGCCCGAGCAGCACGAGCAGCAGCAGTCAGAGAGGAACCAGCCGAGCTCCCCCGCGTCGAGCTCCTTGCCGGGCTCCCCTGCCGAGCTCGTCCGCCCAGCTTCCCCTGCACGGAGCTCCCCTGCATCAGAGAGGAGTCCGCCGAGCCCAACCGCCGAGCTCCCCCAGGCGCCTGCGCCGAGCCACGATGCCGCGCTCGACGACTGGCAGGTCGGGCAGCACGTCCACATATAGGGGGCCACATGCGAACCCTACCCCTACCCCCACGATTTCTGAGGGGGAGGGTGGGGTTCACTTCGCTCGGGAGCTCCCGAGCGAAGTGACCCCCACCCTCCCCCTCAGAAATCGTGGGGGGTAGGGGTAGGGTTCGCATGTGGCCCCCTAACATAGCCGGCACCGAGCGGTGGTGGGCCGGCGGCCCGTTTGGCTTCCAGCGCTTCCAGGTCGAAGAGCTCGCCGCGCTCGTCACCGAGCAGCCGGCTGCACCTGCGGCGCTCTGGCAGGATCAGCGGCAGCCGCAGCAGCAGCTCCCCGAGGCGGGGCCGAGCGGCGCTGCCTCCTCCAGAGATCCGCCACCAGCACTTGGGCTGCAGGACCTCTCAGGGGCAACGTGACTCAGGAGGGAAAAAAACACAGACACAATTCATCGTCGATCCCCGAGAAAATATGGAAAAATATGGGAAGTGGGGGGGAAGACGAAAATCCAAAAAATATGGAAAAATATGGGGAATAGTTTTATTTGTGTGTATTTATTTGTGTGTCCCAGGGCCCCTTCAGTGACGGAGGGAGAGGTCGAAGAAGAAATCCAGCACAAGCACGAATGTTCGATGGTCCGCGCGGATCTCTCGGATCTGCGGCCGGGACCCCCAGGTGGCATGTTTTGGCCCCGCCTCCGACACGCTCCGCGCGCCGGGGAGGGGTGTCTGGCGCAGATCCAAGAAATCCGTGCGGACCGTCGAACGTTTATGCATATGCTGGTTTTCTTCTTCCAAGAGCGGCTCAGAGGGGCGCGTCGACCCCGAGTCGCCCATTTATTGCCGATGGGGGCGTGATGCTCACCCCGCCCAGTAACGTTAGGATTCGATATCGGGGGCCTGTCTCCGATTCATTGGCGATGCATCGCCGATTCCAGGTCGATATTCTCCCCTCCGAGCCCCCCTCCTGACGTTCACCCTCAAGTTCGCGAGCCTGCTCTCCACTACTGCTGATACCGACCAGGGACGGCTGACCTATGGTAGTAATGCTTCGTTAGGCGTGTTTGGCCCCTCACGCATCAGGGCACTACAACGGCCAGCCGCTCCTGGCCTTTAGTGGTCGTCGCAACATAGGTCGCCCCCATGGCGCGAAGTAATCGCGCTTCGCGCATCGCGGCTTGAGTTGGAGATGCGCCTTTCTCCAGGGCGGCGGCGCGAGAGTGCGAAGATAACCGTGTGTCATGCATCGCGATGCGCGATGCGCGAAGTTAGGTGACCGGACAGAAGAAAACAGTCAGGACCAGCTGTGCCAGCAGCTGAAGGATTCTGCTCAGCCCCCCGCAGCGGGCACCGGTCTCTTCGGAGCGCCGCCAGGTGATCCACCGTGCGCATTCTGGCAGCCGGAGCAGCCTGAGCAGCAGCCGGAGCAGCCCAGTGCCGACGCCAAGGCCTTGTTGGATCTGCCAGATGGCCCGCCAGCGCGCCAGGAGAGCTCGCAGTCTCTCGCCCGCACCTCCTCGCAATTCGCCGTGCATTCGATGAGCTCCTCGACGGGAGTCCAAGAGAGGTATCTGAAGGCAGTGACAGGGTTCCAGAAGATGAGCTTGGGCGGAGTGCAGTCTTGGGCGATCTGCTTGGTGATAACAAATGTGATGGAGATCCTCGTGAAAGGGATCATCGCGCCTTCCTTCCCGACGGTCTGCAATTTCGCCCTGAAGTCGTGCACGAGCTGCGCCACCTTCTACGACATCAACGTCTACCCTGTTACCTGCGGCATCACCTATCTCCTGTGCTCGTTTGCGCTCGTTTTCGTGGTGGCCTACGAGAGGCAGTTCCACGACTATCTGGCTCCGATCGAGCCGTACTGGAAGTTTATGGGCGTGAAGTCCGTGGTCTCGGTGACATATTTTCAGTGGTTTGTGTTCAAGTGGATTCTTCAGCTGGAAGAGCAGAAGATGTATTTTTGGCATACGCTCATTTGCTGCGTAGAGATGCCCCTCCTGTGCATCATGCACTCGAACTGTGCCTACCCCTATAAGGGAAAGTGGTTGCAAGGTCTGGCGGACTTCGACAGCTCCGAGGGGCAATCCAAGTCGGAGGGGGATGAAGCTGGAGACGGATCCACTGCGTGCGGGCACTTGAAGCCTTATGCTTTGGCCCTGGTGTACATCCCTCTGTCCTGCTTGGTCAGCTTCCGCGCGGTCTGCTGGGTCGCCCCCCCGGAGTACGACATGCTGCCCCAGGTTCGGAGGTTGATAGACCTCCCACCCTGACACGTCGATTAGCGAATCGGCCGTTTTCGGTTCGCGAGAGGGCATCGCGGCCGTCATTTTTGCGGGTCCAGGCCCGTCGGTTTCGTTCCCAGGCCGTTTTCACCAAAGGGAGGTTTGCTAAAGGGAGGTTTGTCCACCGCCGACAGGTGCCAGTGGCCAACGTCACGTGCCAGGAGGCGTCTGGGAGCTACGTCAGCGGCCTGAACAGCTCCCTGCACCTGGCGCCCCCGGCGAGCCGCTTCGCGTGGCGGGCGCTTCCGCTCTGCTCGACGGTGGAGGCCAGCTGCGCGCTGGGGTACTCCAATCAGGAGGGAAAAAAACACACAGACACACTTAATCGTCGACTCCCCAGAAAATATGGGAAAATATGGGAAGTGGGGGGGAAGACAGAAACCCCAAAAATATGGAAAAACATGGGAAATCTTTGTAGTTGTGCGTATTTATTTGTGTGTCCTGGGGCCCCTTCAGTACTCCAAGGCCTCCCAGATGGGGTCCGAGCAGATGGGGTCGGAGGATCGCGCCGCATTGCCGATGCGGCTCGATGCGGGGCCCGATTTGCTCGACGTTGGTGTCGGCGATGCATCGCCGACGTCGCCGATGCATCGTGGGTGCGGCGCAATCCTCAGGCCCCATCTGCGCGGGCCCCATCAAGGAGGCCTCGAGGTATGCAGGCCGGCCCGAGCTGCACTGCGGCTTCGACAGGAGGTACAGCGTCACTGGGCAGTGCTCGCAGGTGGGCTGCGGGCCGCCCCGGCAGCTGGACAACGCGGAGCCCATCACCGACAGCGCAGCCAAGGCGAAGGGCTGGACGGTAGGGACCAGCGTCGACTATCAGTGCAATGAAGGCTACTTCGGTAGCAAATCATGGTCAGCCGCGCGCAGAGAGGGTTAGGGGGAGGGGGGAGGGCTTCTTAGAAGCACCCCTGCTTCTTAGAAGGCGCGGGCCTTGTCTGTAAATGTAAGGCCTGCGCCTTCTAAGAAGCAGCTTCCTTCTAAGAAGCCTTCCTCCCTCCCGCTACTCCCTTGTGCGCGCCGCCAACATGGGGGCCTGGTGTACACTCTCAATCCCGTCTTTTGCGTTGATTCAGCGTCGATGAGCGTCGATTTAGCGTCGACTGGCTTCGATTCGCAAGGGCCGACAGAGACGGTACGGGAGGCTGCCATGAGTTGCCACCGAAGGCTACCGCGGGGCTCCCCATGCCGTGTGCAAGGACGACAAGCAGTGGCACGTTGAGCTGAAGGACCAGTGCCAGATCATCGGCTGCGGCGCCCTCGAGACCTACCTCACGAAGCTGGAAGGCACGCACTGGCAGCGCATGATGTCGATGGACAGCCCTTACAACCTCACGACCAGCAAGGTGGGCGACGCAGTGCAGTTCACCTGCAGGCCCGGATACCGCGGCCAGCCACTGGTGAACTGTCGCTCTGGGCAGCGGCAGGGAGGGTTGTGGGACATCAGGGACCGCTGCGGCGCCTTCATCACCGTGCTCGGGTGCCGCTGCGAGGCCTCTTGGGTCGATTGCCGCGACTGGTTCGGCAGGCGCTGCCAGAGGTGGCACGGTTGCGCTCGGACGAATGGCCAGACTTACACATGGTGCAGGGTGAAGCCGGGCTCTTGTCCAGCGGCTGCGCGGAACCCGTTCTCGTTCGGCAACGTCTTCCAGATAGGTGCAGAGCCACAGTGGGACACCTGCAGTCCAGACAATTTCAACATCAGCTGGCCCCCAGAACCCGTTCTGGACGTCGGCTTTAGGACCCGCTTTCCTTCCGCGATCTTCATGGCGCTGCTGCTGATGCTCCTGCCTGTCTCTTCCATCCTCTCCTCTCCCCTCCTCCTCCTCCTCCTCCTCCTCCTCCTCCTCCTCCTCCTCCTCCTCCTCCTCCTCCTCCTCCTCCTCCTCCTCCCCTCCTCCTCCTCCTCCTCCTCCTCCTCCTCCTCCTCCTCCTCCTCTCCTCTCATCTCCTCCTCGTCCTCCTCCTCCTCCTCCTCGCCCTCCTCTTCCTCCTGGAGGACACGTGGGTCTGAACCCCGGGCCGTTTCGCAGTCGTGGGCTCGTGGGTCGGGACGACCTCCATGTAAAAAGCTGCCCTGGCGAGGGACCCAACCATGTGCAGGCGTGAGTACCGAAAGGCAGGTGGGACGAAGGTGTGAAGGTCCCAGATCGCAGAGTTTCCAGATTACACCGTTCCCCCGTCTCATCCGTAGAGATATAGACGCCGAGCCCGCTTTCCAGTCAACTCGCACGTTTTTGATGTCCAATCTCCAGTATTCGGGCTGATCCCGGCTTGGCCTTGCGTGTCCAGGCGAGCGGGCAAGAAACGCGGGCGAGGGATTGCTCCCTCTGGGGCCACGGAGCGTGTGAAGGGTGTGCCCAAATGGAGGCGGGCACCGCACGCGAGCCCTGCCGCTTGGACCTTCGGTGCAGCTCACTCTGGGGCCACGGCACGCGTGAGGGGTGTGCTGGGCTGGCGGGTGCCGCACGCGAGCCCTGCCATTGGGGCCTTCGGTGGAGCTCTCTCTGTCGGGTTGACCCAAAAGGGGGTCCAGCGACAAGGGGGTGGTGCAGTAGATTTTGTGCAATAGACTTGCGGGGTTGCAATGCATTTGGGGCGTGCAATATATTTTGCCGGGCGCAAGTGTATTGCTGGATTTTCGCGTGCAATACATTAGTTGCAACACAACGCAACACAATTCTCCAGCGCAATACGTTTGCAATACAATTGCTCCAAATCTATTGCACCACCCCCTTGCAGCTGGACCGCCTTTTCGATCGCCCAGACTCTGGGACCATGAAACGTGTGAGGGCTGTGCCGAAACGCGGGGGGCGGAGGCAGGGATGTGAGGATGGAGGAGGGGGAGGAGGAAGAATGGATGGAAGGAGTTCACGCAGGGCGGTTCAAAACGAAGACCCAATACCACAGGATGGTTGGGCAAAATGAGAAGGCTCACCGCCTCGTGGCCCCATAGGGAGCTCCACCGAAGGTCCCAGCGGCAGGGTCCGCATGCGTCACCGCCACCCAGGACACCGCTTTGTGGCCCCACGGGGAGCTCCACCGAAAGCCCCAGTGGCAGGGTCCGCATGCGTCCCCCCGCTCACTTCGGCACACCACTCACGAGGATCGTGGCCCCATAGGGAGCTCCTCCGAAGGCCCCAGCGGCAGGGTCCGCATGCGTCCCCCCGCCCATTTCGGCACACCCTTCACGAGGATCGTTGCCCCACAGGGAGCTCCACCGACGGCCCCAGCAGCAGGGTCCGCATGCGTCCCCCCGCCCATATGGGCACACCCCTCACGAGGATCGTGGCCCCATAGGGAGCTCCACCGAGGGCCCCAGCGGCAGGGTCCGCATGCGTCCCCCCGCCCATTTCGGCACACCCCTCACGAGGATCGTGGCCCCACAGGGAGCTCCACCGAAGGCCCCAGCGGCAGGGTCCGCATGCGTCCCCCAGCCCATTTCGGCACACCTAGCGATTTCGGGCTCTAGCTTCGCCTTTCCCTTCTCGCACGCCCTGAGGGGGAGGAGGAGTGGGAGGGGGAGGAAACATAGTGATACGGGAAGCCCCGAGCAGTGCTTGCACTTAGGGGTTCGTACATCGCTTCTGAAGAATCGGGTCCGTCTGCAGGCCCCCGTCACCGTCCGTCGCCGCCCCATGCTTCCCAATCACAGGCCCGTCTGCGGGCTCAGCGGCCCCGTTCCCGTCCGTCGTCGCCGCCTGTGCATTACTTTGCCTTGCGCTGCGCCACATAGACTGCACCACATGGGTGGCACCACCTAGATTGCGCACTATAGATTGCTCCACCTAGAATGCACCGCATATGCTGCAATACGTCAACGTTTGGGGTCCGCGCTGGCTAACATAAAACATAAGAATACGGGAACGGAGGGAAGCCGGAAGGGAGGGAGAGGAGGAAGGGAGGAGGAGGAGGAGGATGAATAAGCAGAGTACGAAGAGGAGTGCGATGAGGTGGAGGAGGAGGAGGAGGAGGAGGAGGTGGAGGATCAGGAGCAGGATCAGGAGTAGGAGTAGGATGAAGACAAATCATCAGCATAATCATACTAAATAGAACGAGATGATGATGCTGATGATGCTGATGATGATGATGCTGATGATGATGATGCTGATGATGATGATGCTGATGATGATGATGATGATGATGCTGATGCTGATGAGGATGAGGATGATGATGAGGATGAGGATGAGGATGCTGATGATGATGATGATGATGATGATGATGATGATGATGGTGATGGTGATGGTGATGGTGATGGTGATGATGATGATGATGCTGATGATGATGATGATGATGATGAGGAGGAGGAGGAGGAGGAGGAGGAGGAGGACTACCAGGAATGAAGACAGCCTACATGCGTACAGCGCTTTGTGTTGCCTTCTCCTGCTCCTCCTCATCCCGCCTGGCTTCCGCCAACGTCGGGGCAGGATTGGTGCTGCCGACACCTACCTAATGGCGCTCTTGGCGTCCTCACTGGTGTCGTTCCTGCTCTGGCGCAAGCTGGTCGCGGAGGCGGTCGGTTCCGTCCCAGCGGCTGCTGTTGTTGAATTCGCATGTCTGAACACATGGTTCATCATTGTTGATTATCCTTGTCTGTTGCGCACAGCTTTCTCGTTTGAAGTGCGCCTCTGGACGCTCGCGGTTTGTTCTTTTCTACCAGAGAAAGTTCTCCGGCTCAAGCTGGGCCCCTGGGCCCCCAGCCTGCAACGACAGTGGCTAGCGCTTGAGCCTTCCCCACGATTTATTCGGGCATCGCGCTCTCGCTCGGGATATCCTTGCCATGTTATGAAAAGCGCACTCTCGCGGGGGACACCCGTGCAACTTGTGAAAGCACCGCGCCTTCCGCCTTTCAGGAATGGTGCTCTCTCTTGAGGCTTCCGTGCAGCTCACGTGGGAATCGTGCTCTCGCCTGACGCCTCCCCACGATTTACCCAGGGGTTGCGCTTTGCGGGAGACCTCTCGTTTCGTCTTCTTTCTTGCCTTTCTCCTCGTCCAATTCTTTTCTGTTGCATCTTCGGGGGACCTCGCCTGTCCCAAAAATTGGTGTCTTTTTGGGGGCCCGACGCGGGCTCGATGCGGACTCGACGCGGATTTGGCGTGGATTCGACGCGGATTCGACACGGATTCGACACGGATCCGACGCGTCCGACATGGATTCGACACGGATTCGACGCGGACAGGGCCGCGACGGGACAGACAAGGTCCCCCGAGGATGCAACACAAAATTCTTCTCTCCTCACCGTCCTGATGAGCGGGCGGGTATCGAGGGCTTAGGCGAATACATGTTGAGTCAATGTTGAGTTGCACGCGGGCAATGAAAGAGCTAACAGTCTTAAACATATTATTGTTGTTATTGTTGCCTCATCTCGCTGTCCTCCGCATGCACCCTCATATCCCACTCCTGCTGTGTCTCTGGCTCCTGCTCCTATCCTTATTCCTTATTGGTGTATTCTCTGACTCTGCCACACAGCCGGCCGATAGGGGCCAGATCTGCCCGGTCCATGTTAGAGCCGTTCCTTCTCCCGCGGGAACATGTCTCACACACTGTGAACACATGTTTAATTCAAGGATCGGATTGTTGGAGTGTCCATTGTCATGGCATCCACAGGCTTTGCCCGTCGGGGTGTTCAGTGTGAGGGTGTCTTCTTCCGCTGTCCGTGTGCACGCATCAGTTTGGTCCTTTTTGCGCGGAGCCAGAGATTTCACACCCCCCTGCACCTCTGCAGCGCGATCCGAGAGACTCTCGAGGGCCTGCCCGCTCGCGAGGGAGCACTCGCGGCCCGGTCCCGCGGGGATGCCTCGGCGAGGCGGCGAGCCGTCTTCGTCGTCGCGGTCGCGCCGTTGGCATCGGCGGCGAGCCCAGGGGGGGACGTCAGAGGGGGTGGGCCTCTTCAGACTTGGCATCGCTCGGACGTGTGCATGTTTCCTTCGGCGAGGACCATCGAGGAGCATCCTTGATCATCTCGCGAGAAAAACACACACGAAATCACAGGGAATGGACGTCCGAGCGATGGCCAGCAGAAAGCTCGGAAGGCCTTTGGCACTCTGAGACATTTTCTGAGCCTTCTCCGCAGACAGAGGCGGCTTCTCAGAAGGCCAGAGGGCTTCTGAGAAGCCTGGCCGCCTTTGAGAAGGCTTGCCCCCTCTCATTTCCCCCCTGGGCGCGCCACCGATGCTAGCCTGCAGATTCGCGGGTTTGATGGAGACTGCCAGCTGGCCTCGTTGTCTAACGGCCGACTTACCCGAAACGTCGTCGAAACTCCCAGCGCAGCCCTCGAGCTCGTTGAGTCTCCGTTGGCTGATCAGCCCGATGATTCGAAAAGCGTAGCTCTTCTCGAGGCCGCGGCCCTCATTGTGGCTGTATACGTGGCTGTAGCTCCCCTTTGTGCTGCAGCTCTCGTTGTGGCTGGCGCTCTGCAGCATGCGTTAGTTCTCGTCGCAATTGCGGCTCTCCTCGTCGAAGGTGTAGCTCTCGTCGTAGCCGTATTTCGTTTTCATGGTGGATGATGCCCCGTAGTTGTACCTCTCGTGGAGGCTGTCGTTCTCTTTCAGTGTGGAGCTCTCGTTGAGGTTGTAGCTCTTCTCTTCTTGTAGCTGTAGCTCTGGTTTGGGTTGTACGTATTCTTTAGTTTCCAGCTATCCTCATAGCTGCGGCTCTCCTTGTCGCTGTAGCTCTCGTTGGGGCTGCAGCTCCCGTTCAAGATGTAGCTCTCCTTGCACCTGTAGCTCTCGTTGCGGCTGTACTTCTCTCTCAGGGTGTAGCACTTCGCATAGTTGTAGCTCTCGCTGCCGCTGCAGCTCTCGTTGAGGCCGTAGCTGCCTCTCAAGCTGGTCCTCAGGCAGGTGCGCACATGGGAGTTTCCTCGAAATGCCCCCTATGGCGCACCAAGTATTTTAAGAAACTCCAAGCTGGTGCCGAGGGGGCATGGGGGGTCCTCGTGGTGTTCGCTCTCGCTGTGGCTGCAGCGATGCTCCCTGCTGTAGCCCAAAGGCCTGGATGGTGCTCTGGCGGGAGGCGCCTTGAAAGTCGGCTGCGTGAGCTGTTTCATTGCCCGCCCCCTCTACGGACCCCGCTCTCGTCCGACCACATGCCTGGTCCTCCTCCGCAGCTTCCTCCCCTTCGCTACCCCGCCATGTAGTGACCCCCCCCGATACCTCCTCCTCCTCCTCCTCCTCCTCCTCCTCCTCCTCCTCCTCCTCCTCCTCCTCCTCCTCCTCATGGCCCCTCATGGCCTCCTCCTCTTCCTCCTCCTCCTCCTCTTCCTCCTCCTCCTCGTCCTCCTGATGTTTCTTCTTCTTCTCCTGCTGCTCCTCCTCCTCCTCCTCCTTCTGGCCTGCTCCTCCTCCTCCTCCTCCTCCTCCTCCTGATGCCGACCCTCGGCCAGGGCATCGGCGTCTGCTGCAAAGGCCTTCAGGCGGTCACCAGGGCGGCCAGCCCGGTGGGGCAGGGAGTCAGGCGCCCCTTGCGGCTGGGACTGGCACGGATTGGAAGGTCGAGGAGGAGGAAAGCAACAGGAGGAGGAGGAAGAAAGCAACAGGAGGAGGAGGAGGGAGAAAAGGGACCAGGCTGAAGAGGAGGAGGAGGAGGAGGAGGCAAGGAGGAGGAGGAGCAGAAGGAGGACGAGGAGGAGGTGAAGGACCAGGAGGAGAAGAAGGACCAGGAGGAGGAGGAGCACAATCGTGACCAGGAGGACGAGGAGGAGGAGAAGGAGTATAATGGGGGAGAAGGTGGTGGAGGAAACCGGTGCCCGACCCGCTCGGCCCTCGGCAGGGGCGGAGGGTCACGCAGCGGGCGAGAGGCTGAGCGCGCCAACCGCCACGGGGGAGGTACACCGCGCAGCGGACGAGATCACACACCGAGGCAATGTTTCACATGGGTTCGAGGCCTCAGAGTTCTCGCCACGGCATGCTCCGTGGCTTACTGCTCTCGCGCACGCTCGCGCACCGAAGCTCTTCATCGCCTGGACTTCGCCATACGAGTAGGCAAACCACTTGGCCTGCACACAATTTCTATCAGTGGTAAACATTCCTATATATATATATATGTGCTGACTGGTGTAGAGCATCATGTTCAGACAAAGTAAAACTTGCCAACCACTCTTTATAAGGCCTACTCACCCCCCTCCCCACACATGTTCGCCGCCCGCAGACAAAGTTTTACAGGCAATGGAACACCTTCTGTCTACCTTTCAGCCACGTCTTTCACTCCCGCCGATCGCACCAAGCGTTTGTATTGCTCCGTTTCGTTTCAATCGTTTCCGCCGACGTATACACCACCGCCCTTCTGTGTCTCAGAGGGGCCCGTCTTTGGTCCCGCGTCGGACACCCAGAGCGCTGAGTCCAAGGAGGGTCACGAAGAGGGCACCGAGTACGAGGAGGACCGCGAGGGACCAACCGAGGACAATAAGGACGCCAAGCTCCGAGTGGCCGCATGCCCCGCGAGGGAGTCCGCGGAGGACATACTCGGGGAAACGGCCATAGGGGCAGCAGCCGTGAGCGCGCCCGACGGGCTGGTGCAGGCGAAAGCTCTCGGGGGAGCAGAGGCCGAGGCCACCGACCAGGGCCATTTGAAGGCCGACGCCCAGGAGGATAATGAGGACAGCGCCAGCAGCCCGACGGACACCCGATCCTCAGGGACAGGCCAACTCTAGGGGAACAAAAAGTGACATAAACATAAAAACTCGGAGGACAGCGCCAGCAGCCCGACGGACACCCGATCCTCAGGGACTCAGCAGCTGCGTTCGCATGCGGTTCCACCCCCATTTCGGCACACCCCTCACACGCGTCGTGGCCCCATAGGGAGCTCCACCGAAGGCCCCAGAGGCAGTTTTCGCATGCGGTTCCACCCCCATTTCGGCACACCCCTCACACGTTTTGTGGTCCCATGAGGAGCTCCCCCTAAGGAGGCCAACTCCGCCCCGGGCAACGAGCCCGACTCGTTCGCCTGGTGAACGGGCCCGCCTTGCACGGGTCCGAGAGGACGCTCGGCGAAGCGGGCCCCGCCACGGGACGATTCCCAGTCAAGCGCGTGTTAAGACTGGAGAATGGACTTAGTGGGCCCTGGAAACGACAGGGCCGTCTTTTTACTGGTTCCGTTTGACTGTTTTTGTTGCCGGTTCCGATTCCGTTGTTTACCGGTTCCGTCGCCGTTCTTTTACGGGTTCTTGCTCCGGTTCCAATCCTGGGGCCGTTTTTGTTACCGTTTCCGGTCGCCGGTTTTTCCTCTTTCCATTTTCAAGGGACATTTCTTTTGGAAACGGTGAAAAAACGGCCTTGCCGTTTCCGGGGCCCACTAAGAGAGAATGGACAATTTCGAGCTCGCCGGCGGCGAGTTATCGGATCTTCTGCGAGCGCTCGGAGCGCTCGCAGAAGATCCGACACCATGAGTTCCTTCGTGAGGCTCGCAGATTCGAATACGCAGCGACATCGAACAGCTTCTCGCCGACGCGGCCACCAGCAAGGCCTTCTTCGAGGGCACATATGCCGCGCGGCGATCAGGACCAGCCATGTGTTTTCCACCTGCGGTGAGCCGCCACTGATATGAACAACGGCCAGAGGCACTGGATTCTCGACGGACCACCCCGCTGCCCCCGGCCACCTTCCACGAGCTCGCCAACTGGCCATAGACAGGGGCGCGAAGACAACGATCGTTCCCCGCGCCGCGCGCGAAGACAATCGCGCGCCCTCTCCAGGTGCCCTCCCGGAGAGGCAGCGCGCGTATCTCAGCACTGGTTCTGCTGCTCCCGTCGTCGTGCCCCGACGGTGGGCGTAGCGCCCCCCCCCCCCCTCCTCTCGTCTTCCTATGGGTTACCCTGTGATTTGAAGCCCAGAAGAATAATATTGCGTTTAGTCTTGTTTCAGAACATATTGAGATTCCTGGGAAATTCGAAGGTAACCCTCGAATTTCCCCCCAAAACCCAAAAAGAAGTAGCTAATCGATAGGGTTGAATAGCTCTCAGCGCCCCGTCATGTCTTCCTTCATCTTGCGCAAGTTTCGTTCCTTCCTCCCCTCCTCGCCCACCCGCGCCGCTGAGGACGTGCAGACCAAAGGGGTCCGTGCTACACCCGAAAACAACACAGAAGACATTGCGACGGGATGGAGGTCGGGGGTGGACCGCCAATCCCCAGGGCCCCTGGAGGGCCTTGGCCGCGCCTGGCCGTCTGCCTGGGAGGAGGCGTGCGCCTACAGTGGAGACCCATGCCAACAAACACCCTGCTTGCCTACCGGGTGCCCTGGGTTTCTTTGGTTTCGATGGTTTTGCGATGGAGCCCGTGACGTTCCCGCACCAAAAATCCAAGGACGCCCTGGGGTCTCAGGGTTGGGTTTCTTGTGGAAGGTTTGTTGTGGACTGGCCTCCACTGTAGCGCAGGGCGGCGGCGGCGGGCGGTGCAACCGCAGCGGAGGCAGGGAGTGCAATGGGACCCTCGACGAGGGCAATCACAATCTTCTCAGTTGCCCCGCGCGCCTGTTTTTCCCACTCGCCCATCCCGTCGCCCTTCCCCTCGTTCCCGCCGCGCGGCCGCGCTCCTTCAACGAGGGCCAGGATGCCAGATGGGGGGAAAGGGGCAGGATGAGGAGGAGGAGGGGGAGGAGGAGGAGGAGGAGGAGGAGGTGGAGGGGAGGCGGAGGCGGAGGGGGGGGAGGGAGGAGGGGGGGGGGAGGGGGAGGAGGAGAGGGGGAGGGGAGGGAGGAGAGGAGGAGGAGAAGGAGGGAGGGGAGGAGAGGAGGAGGGGGAGGAGGGGAGGAAGGAGGAGGGGGAGGAGGAGGAAGGAGGAGGAGCACCGCGGCCACCAAGCGAGGCAAAGGAGGCGCTGCCCAGCCACCCACCCAGAGCGGTCGTGCCACCAGACTGTTGAAGCTGGCCTGGGGCGGCAGAGTACAAGACTTCAGTCGGGCCTGTCCCCCTACAGGGGGATTTCCGACGACAAATAAAAAATACCCCCAAGATAGTAAAGCAACATAGTCCAAAAATAGTGCGGGGACTCTTTTTGAGTAGTTTGGGCATTTTTAGGGTATTTTCGGGGTATTTTTGATTTTTCGTCGAACATCTCCCTGTAGGGGGACACGCCCGACATAAGACAAGACCGTCGCAGGAGGCACTGCCCAGCCATCCAGCAAGAGCGATCGCGCCGCCGGGCTGTCTGAGCTGGCCTAGGGCGGCAGGGTGCCGACGAAGGGCTTGGCAAGTCAGCCCTGGTCTCATGGTTTTTGATTCGAGATTTTCCCTCCTCCAGGCCCTTGGCATCGCTCGGACGTGTGCATTTTTCCTTCGGCGAGGACCATCGAGGCGCATCCTTGATCATTTGGGGAAAAAGCCACGCACGAAACCGAAAAAAAACAGGGAATGGACGTCCGAGCGATGGCCAGGGCCGCCGAGGTATCATCGCAACAGCCTGAGCATCAGGTCGCACCGTGCAGCCACGGTAAAGTGATGGAGGAGGATGGTGGGTTTCGCGGGGGTTCAGGAGTTATTACTGTCTGCAGATCGGGCCCGGAGTACCGCGGCCACCAGGCAGGACAGCCGAGATAGGCGCTACCCAGCCACCCAGCCAGAGCGATCGCGCCACCAGTTTGTTTGAGCTGGCCCAGGGCGGCAGAGTGCAAACCCTCGAAGAGGGCACTCCCCAGCCACCCAGCCTGAGCGATCCCGTCACCAGACTGTTGAAGCTGGCGTTGGGCGGCAGAGTGCCGACGGAGAGCCTTTCCGACCACCCCGGGCCTGCCTGCATCTTCTCTCGCTCTTTCATGACTTCCTCCTTCTCCCTCCCCGTGGACTCCGCCGTCTCCGCGGCCGTCCCCTGGGAGCCCCCCTCTCCCCCCATCGCTCACCTCTGCCATTCGCCGCCGCGCTGCCGCCAACCGCAGATCGCGCTTGGAGTTAAGTCGGGCCTGTCCCCCTACAAGAGGAATTTTCAAAAATAGTCAAAAAATAGCATGGGGACTATTTTCTTAGTATTGTTTGACCACATTTTTAATATTTCACCCAAAATCCCCCTGCAGGGGGACAGGCCCGGCTTAAGCTTGGAGTACCGGTTCCACTAGGTAAGACCGTCTTACCTCTACTCAGCCGGCGATGACGTTCGCAAGGCTCACTAGTTTGATCAACCCCCCCAGAGGGCCGACGGGCCCTCGGGGGGGGATGGCAACATCCGCGGGATCTTGCTGCCATCAGTCCACAGTCCACAGGAGGAGGAACAGGAGGAGGAGGAGGAGGAGGAGGAGGAGGAAGAGGAGGAGGAGGAGGAGAAGAAGGAAGAGGAAGAGAGAGGAGACGAGGGGAAGATGATCGAGCTGGGAGGAAGGCGAGGAGGCATGAGGCATGAGTCAGGATGAGGAGGACAAGGAAGAGGAGCAGGAGCAAGAAATCTAGAATGAAGAGGAGGAGGAGGACGACGACAACGACGAGCTGGGAGTTGAGAGGGACCAGTTGGGCGAGGAAAGGGTAGCAACGAGGAGACAGGCGACGACGAGGGAGTGAGACGGGCGACGAGCGGGGAGAGGATGATGAGAAGGACGGGGAGTAGGGATGAGGAGGGGAGGGGGAAGAGGCGGGGGGGGGCTGGGGACAGAGAAGGCGGAAGAGTTGTTTCTATCACCCGGGTTCTTGAAATGTTCGACGAATTTCGAATCATGTTGTCCGGTCGAATAACCATGCGAAGCAACATCGCGATAAGGTTCGCCGAAAAGACGTACATTTGCGATCATAGTTTGGTGGTCAATTCATCCTTTATTCCCTATTCGTGCACGTGCAGGAGAGTTTGGCGGTTCATGCGAAAGAGAATGGTCAAACTCGTTTTATGACTTACTACATATATATATATAAGTATCCGTTATGTCTTGGTCCATGTATACTTCGACTTGACAAGAGGTGGACGAGCAGCAGGAGCGGGAGCTGGAGCTGGAGCAGGATCAGGAGGAGGAGGAGGGGGAGGAGGAGGAGGAGGAGGAGGAGGAGGAGGAGGAGGAGGAGGAGGAGGAGGAGGAAGAGGAGGAGGAGAAGCAGCAGGGAGCGTGGGGGCCACCATGGGACGAAGAGAAGCCCACCCACGGCGCATGCACTCTCTGCCGCCCCCGAAAGAGGGCAAGGGCGGTCAGCCAGGCACGGGTGTTGGCGGACGATTTAAACAATCCATCTTCGCGGCAGAGGATCCATGCCTCGTGCCGCGGAGGAGGAGGAGGCGGGAGGAGGGGATGATGATGATGATGAGGAGGAGGAGGAGGAGGAGGAGGACGAGGATGACGAGGAAGACGGAGGAGGACGAGGAGGACGAGGAGGACGAGGAGGACGAGGACGAGAGGACTAGGAGGACGAGGAGGACGAGGAGGACGAGGAGGACGAGGAGGACGAGGAGGAGGAGGAGGAGGAGGAGGAGGAGGAGGAGGAGGAGGGGGAGGAGGAGCAGGAGGAACAGGAGGAGAAGGAGGAGGAGGAGGAGGAGGAAGAGGAGGAGCGGGGGAGGACGGGAAGAGAAGGAGGCGGCGGGAAGGAGGGAGGAGGGGGAGGAACGGGCTTCTTCTTGCCAGTGCCCCCCAGCCCCCCTCCAGACACGCACCGTGCCCCGTCGCCGCCGGTCTGCTGCGGGCTGTCGATCACGACCGGGGTTGGTCGGACAGGCGTCTTGCGCGCCGCGGCCTGGGCCGCTGGGGCATCCTGACCGCGCCGTGATTTGAGATCAACCCTTGAACAGGATCCACACGGGCACGCGGAACGAGAACATCAAGAACCGAGGAACCGCAGCAAGGCCCTGCCTGAGTTCATGACGACTAGGCAAAATGGTCGCTGGGCCATCCTGGCCGCGCCGTGATTTGAGATCAACCCTTGAACAGAATCCGCACGGGCACGCTGAACAAGAACATCCAGAGCCGATGAACCGCAGCAAGGCCTTGCCTTGAGCTCATGACGACTGGGCAAAAATGGTCGCTGGGCTATCTCCTGGCCCGGGGGGCGGCGCGGGGGCGCGAAGACGGCCGCACGTCGCGCCTCGCCGGGCGCGGCTCGCGAAGTTGGGCGGCTTAGGCTCCGAGGGGGGGGGGGGGGGGGGGGGGGGGGGGGGGGCGCGCTGGGGAGGGGGGGGGGCGGCTCAGGGCGGAGCGCCTCGACGCCCAAGTCGCCCACTCGTCGCCGACAGGGGCCCGACAGCCCACCCCAGGGAGTCTGCGCTCCTGGCAGGGGCAGGGGCACGAGGGATTGTACGCTTCTGCTTGTTCCTTCCTCCGCGTCCTTCCGTGCTCGCTCCTCCAACTATCTCCTCCTCCCTCTGTATCAGGAGCAACGTTCGGCGGGGATCGGCTGGGGATGCATCGACCCCCAGTCGCCCGCTCGTCGCCGACAGGGGCCGGATGGTCCACCCACCCACCCTCAACGTGCGGTGTCGCTATCTGCGGCCTATCGCTGATCTGTCGGCGACGTATCGCCGATTCCAGGTCGATGCTTACCCACCCCGAGCTGGAACCCCCCCTGAGGGTCTCGCGTTCTCTTTTCCTCGCAGGTTCGTCTCTAGCTCGACTCAAGTTCGAATCAAGCCCAACTCGAGTTCGACTCAAGTCGACGGGCGTTCGGCGCAGCTTTGGCACATGATTGGAGCGAGTGGCTCTAGGAGTGTCCCCAGAATGAGCCTATAATAGAACACCTGACCTCTCTCCCGCCCCCCTCGATCGTTCTCTTGCCCCCCCTCGATCGTTCTCCTAGGCCCCCCCCCCAGGGGCATGAAGATAATCGCGCTTCGCGCGTCGCGGCCTAGGTTGGAGGGGCGCCCTTTTCCAGGGCGGCGGCGCGAGATCGCGAAGATAACCGCGCATCACGCGTCGCGGGGCGCGATGCGCCAAGTTAGGTGACCTAGCTCTCTTGCCCTCCCGTCGACCGTTCCCTTGCTCGTAGGGTCCTCGATCCTTTCTCCTTGCCCCGCGAGGCGCTTCAGGAGGGCCCCCAGAACGAGCAGCCCCTGACCGCTCTCCCCTCTCCTGCCCCCCTCGATCGCTCTCCTGCCCGCCCTCCCCCCGACCGTTCTCTTGCTCGTGGGGCCATCGACCGTCCTCCTCCTCCTCCTCCTCCTCCTCCTCCTCCTCCTCATCCTCCTCCTCCTCCTCCTCCTCCTCCTCCTCCTCCTCGTCCTCCTCCTCCTCCTCCTCCTCCCCCCCCCCGAGGCGCATCCCCGGCGCGCTGCGCAGGAGGTGGCGCACGCTGGCCTGGTACCTGCGGGCGCGGTGGCGCGGCGCGTCCGCGCGGCTGCGGCGCAGGCGCCCCGCGCCCCCCGCGCGGCTCTCCCCCGCCGAGCGCCCGGCGCGCCACGTGGCGCCGCCCGCGGTGCCCCGGGCACGGTGCGGGCGGCACGGGGCGAAGAGGGTGCGGTCGGCACGGTGCCGGGCACGGTGCGATCGGCACGGTGCCGTGCGCGGTGCCGGGCACGGTGCGATTAGGGGGCCACAAGCGAACCCTACCCCTACCCCCCACGATTTTCGAGGGGGAGGGTGGGGTTCACTTCGCTCGTGACCTCCCGAATGAAGGGAACCCCGTCCTCCCCCTCGGAAATCGTGGGGGGTAGGGGTAGGGTTCACATGTGGCCCCCTAACGGTGCCGTCCCCGGTGCCGGGCACGGTGCGATCGGCGCGGGGTGCCCGGGTCACCCCTGGGGCGCGAAGATGGCCGCGCTGCGCGCCTCGCGGCGGAAGGGTCGGAGCGGCGGCCCTCTCCGGGGCGGCGGCGCCGGGGCGCGGAGATCCCTGCGCACCGCGCACTGGACCGGCGCGAGGCGCGGAGTCGGGCGAAGCTGGACTTCCGCGGTGCCACTCACGTCGGGGGCGCCGCAGGCCTCCTGGATGGGCTCCGTGCAGGTGGGGTCGGAGCGCCTCATCGCCGTCGCCGATGCACCTTCGATGCATCGCCGATGCGGCTCTGTGTGGAGCCCGATTTACTCCGCGCTGGCGTCGCCGATGCACCGCCGACGTCGCCGGTACATCGCCGACGCTTCGACAAAGCATCGGTGATGTGGCGCGATCCTCCAAACCCGTCCACTTGAACCCTAGAGGGGGGTGATGGCTAGGGGGGGGATACTATGGCAGGGGAATGATATCTCGCCAGATCTTGTGGCCTTTTTTTTTTTTTTTTTCTCTTCGTACTATTATTGCTACTCTTGTGGTTATTACTGTTGTGAGTGTTCTTCTAATTATTCTTCCTCTTTCGACACATCCCTTGGTCCCCGCCTCGTCCGCGCATATGGCCCCTCTCATCCACCCCTTGGCCTCCCCTGATCACGGTACGATCGACGCGGGTACGGGAAGAATGGCGACGAGACCGACAGCAGTTCTCGTCGCTCTAAACGAGGACTCGTTGTCGGTGCCATCGCGGACGTTGTCCATTTGAAATGAAGTATCGCTTGCACAACAGCGGCCGCTATCCTCCCAGGCGCCGTTCACGGTGCCACTGGTCCCACGGTCGGCGGATGTCAATTCCGTAATTACGGAGTACGTCCGCATGGAGTGTTCGGCCTCCAGTTGGGCAGGCCCAAAGATTGACCAAGAGCTCCCCTTTCAAAGGAGGGGGACTTCGGAAACTACCCGCCCCTCCCCTGGCAAGACGAGCCCGGCGGCTGCGAAAGGGGGGAGGGGGGGAGGTAGCTTCCGAAGCTCCGCCCCCCCTTGAAAGGCCAGGGCTGACTTTCGGCTCTGGAGCAAGGGAAGAGGGGGTAGCTTCGAAGCCCCCCTTTGGCAGGGCAATCCCAGCTGCAGAAGGGAGGGGTCAGCTTCCGAAGCCCTTCCCCCCCCGCTTGAGAGGGCAGCCCGGCCTGTCCTTCCTCTCCGTGGCAGGGTGGGAGGGGGATCTTGGTGCGACAGGCCTCGGAAACATAGCGAACAGTCATGCCACATTCCTCGGTCAACGCCTCCCCCTCCCCCAGTGTTCAGAGCTGACGGTGGGTCTGATGAGTTTTCATCCTCGTTCGTTCCCGCTCTTCACGCCTCCACACTCCTCCGCCCTCCCGCCCTCCCCCCGAGGCCCACTCCACCATCCTATGCTCCTCCGCCCTCCTCCGCACTATCCCGCCCTCCTCCGCACTATTCCCATACCTCCCCACTCCTCCAGCTTCCGTTCCATGCCTAACCATTCCTCCGCCCTCCTCCGCATTCCTTCGCATTCCTCTCCATCCATTCCCGCTCTTCCACTCCTCCGTTTTCCCCCGTACCCCTTCCCGGCCCGTTCCACCACTCTACACTCATCCGCCTTCCTCCGCACTCTTCCATCCTCCTCCGCATTCCTGCTATTCTTCCCCATTCCTCTACCCTCCGTTCCATTCCTAACCACTCTTCTGAATTCCCCCGCACCCTCAGCTCCTGTCTCCCGCCCCTCCCCTCCTCTCTACCGCATCCATTCCCGCTCCTCCTCTCTCCCCCGCCTTCTCCCTTCTTCTCCACCCTCCGTTCCGATCCTAACCACTCCTCCGCCCTCCTCCGCAATGCTCCCCGTTCCCCCTCCTCCCCACACCTCCGCACTCCTCCGCCTTCCTCCGCATTTCGTCCGCATTTCTCCGTACTCCTCTCCGTTCATTCCCGCTCTTCCCCAGACCGCTCCATTCCTCCACACACCTCCGCACTCCTCTCTCCTCCTCCTCTCTCCTCCTCTCTCCTCCTCCTCTCTCCTCCTCCTCCTCCTCCTCCTCCTCCTCCTCCTCCTCCTCCTCCTCCCTCCTCCTCCTCCTCCTCCTCCTCCTCCTCCTCCTACCTCCTCTCCTCCTCCCTCCTCCTCCTCCTCCTCCTCCTCCTCCTCCTCCTCCTCCTCCTCCTCCTCCTCCCTCCTCTCTCTCCTCCTCCTCCTCCTCCTCCTCTCTCTCCTCCTCTCTCCTCCTCCTCCTCCTCCTACGACTACGACTACGACGCAGAGACCAGACCTTGCCACGGCGGCTCGGGCCTCCCAGTCCCACTCTGCCCCGCCGACTCCGGCCCCCGGGCAGCGCTCTCAGCACGTCTCCGACCACCTGCCGCTGGCAGCCATCTCAAACGACGCCCGATCTATGACCTATGATCATAGATCTATTATCTAAGGTCTAGTATTATGTGTATATATATATATATACGCCCGATCTACGATCTATGAGCTATGATCATGGATCATAGATTTATGATCTAAGATCTATGATTTTAATAAAAGACAAAAAAACGCCCGATCTATTGTCAATGACAGCAGATGACCGTGCAGAGGAACTCACAGGGGAGCCCGACGACAGCCAATGGGACGTCATCCTCGTCAGCGAGACGTGGCGCACTGTCGCAGAGGAGTTGTGGACCACGACCCACGACCGCACGCTTGCCGGGGCTGGAAATACACAGCGAAGCCAAGGAGTGGCGATTCTGGTCCATGAGCGATGGAACAAATACATACGTAAATTTGAAGCTATTTCGCCCCGTTTGGCAGCGCTGTCAATACAACGTGGGCGATTGAGACTATTATTTGTTGTTGCTTATTTCCCTCACTCTGGCTATGGGGACCCACACGTACAGAAAATGTACGACGCCAGTCGCGAGATTCACCGGAAATGCCGCGACACCAGACAGCATATGACATTAGCAGGTGATTTCAACGCCCAGGTGGGACAGACGAAGACGATAAAGGAGGACGGAGCGACCAATGATCCCGACGCTGACACCGACGACCTTACAGGGGATACGACGTGCCGGACTACAGGGCCGCACGGCTATGGAGACGAGAACTCGAGAGGCACGTGGCTCCAGCATTGGGCAGCAACCGAAAACCTCATGCTAGTGAACACGTTCTTCCGGAAGTGCCCGGACAAGCAGATCACATGCACGAACAGCGGCACGCAAAAACAATTGGATTACGTGTTGGTCGAACGATTTTTCTTCCGATATTGCAAGAATGCGGAAGCCTCTAACGCAGTGGACTTGGGATCCGACTACAAAGCTGTAGTCACCATCTGTCGATTGCCAATATCGGTTCTATCTAGAGAAGGAGTTTGCAAAGAAGTGGAAGCGGGACGTGCAAAGAAGCGGAACAAAAGGATGCCCGCCGAACACCACTACGCAACAACCGAAGCTCACACCCGAGAGCTTGCCATCCAACGAGCACGTCTACAACCGCACCTCCTCCCTGAACTCCTTGTGGACCTCTGTGACTACATCGTGGAAGTGATCATCGACTCTGTGACCGGCTTCGCCGATAACGACCCACCATTCAGCGACCACGCTACAACGCCCCTCACCCAACCTGCGCCGAACCATCCAAGCAACGACCAGCAAGGGCACCTATCAGAATTGATCCACAGACGACGGCAGACGCCCAATGTGGACCATACAGCACGGAGACAGCTGAGCAAAGAAATACGCCAGGAGCTACGCCGACAGAAACGATCGGAGAGAAGAGAACGGATCGGCACGATCTTGGAGCAGAACAAAGGGCTCAAAGCAATCAGAAGTGCAAAAACGAGGCAGAAGAGGAAACTGATCACACGAATGAAAGATTCCAGCGGGGAGGACAAAACGTCGAGGACCGATATCGCCAACGTATTCGCCGAGTTCTATGAGCAGGTGTACAACTCTACGGACCCATGTCCGCCGCCACCGACGTCGCACGACGAGGTGCCGCCTTTCTCAATGGCAGAGCTCACCAAGGCCTTGTCCGAGCTGAAGAACAAGAAAGCACCAGGTATCAGAGGACTCAAAGCTGAGATGCTAAAAATGGTTCGGTGAAACTCCAAAAAGCGCTTCTCTTGCTCTACAACTCCACAATCCAATCAAACGCTGCACCGCAGGCGGAATGGAAGAAGACGGTAATCAAAGTCATACCCAAATCGGGAGACTTACATCAAGCAAAAAACTACAGGCCGATCTGCACCATATCGCTCTTATACAAGCTGTTCAGCCGACTCCAATACAATCGATTGCAGCCTACACTAGACAAGCGGCAGAGCGACGACCAAGCAGGCTTCCGACCGGGACGCTCTACGACTGATCATCTCTTTGTTTTCAACATCGTCCGGGAGAGAGCCCAAGAGTGGAACCAACCACGATGGATAGTTCTACCACGGTCAATCGGTTATAGTGCAGACAGACGTCTCGAGCCGCCCATTCAATTTCTTACGAGGCACCGAACAGGGCGACCCACTCAGCTCGTTGCTGTTCAATTCTGTTCTCGAGCACATCATGGCCCCGTTGGTCGCACAATGGCGGGACCAAAAGATCGGGGTGCAGCTGGGGCACACCCGGGCGTCCAACATGACAAACCTTCGTTT